ACACCAATAAGAAAACAAAACAAAACTTCCACTTCATTGAATTATTTATTTGTAAAAATGATACTGTGTATATATGTAGGAACATGTACCATATATACAACAACAGGACACTGACAATCAACAACTGGCCAGGAATTCTGTTGTAACATGAAAGGAATCTTCAATCTTCAATAACTTGTATGTTCGTTGAATTAATCACAACATTTTCTTCTATATTGCTATTTATTAAGAAGATACAATGTATATATGCATAAATCATTTTTCTAAGAAATTATTGAGAAAATCTTTGTTTCCTAATACTGATAACGGAATTTTTAAAATAGGTGTTACATTATGTAGTAAGGTACTCAATATGGGAGGCAACTCTTGTAGGCTTAAGAATGACCCTTACTACATCAAGAGTTGTCTCCCCTGGTGTAGCAGGCGGCTTCCTTTGTTGACATGGCAGATTTGGCAGCAGAAAAAGAAAAAAGCTGGTTCTAGATGATTTTGAAAGGGGTGTGACTAATGAAAAAGAGTTAGCTGGTAGACATGACATTCCTCTGTCTCCAGTATACAGAACTTTGAAGAATATTGAGTCAGGAGTTGGGATTGAGCACAAGACGGGTAGGGAGGCTACGGAAGTCCAGTACTATGGATTTGTTGACGTCTAAAGTACAGCAACTGCCATCGCACATTATTTGTGTATCAGTTGTAGTTAGTGAGTTGGGTTTAACGCCGTTTCAACAGTATTGAGTCGTGCAAAAGGTATTCGGACATTTGACGTAATTTCCATAGACTTACATGTTAAATTATTGTAGCAAAAATTATATTCATGAATTAATTTTCGTAAGATCAAGTCAAATTTTGCACATTTGTGAGGAATCATCTTACCTACAATCACATAATTTCTGTTTAATTTTCCGTTGCTTATTTATCGAATTGCAACAAATAGATTTATAATTTGAAATTGTATCCATTTAAAACTGGATGAATAATAATGTGGTAACCCCTGTTTAGGAAAACAGCCACTTTAATCTAACCTTATGCACTTGGTATATGAGTAACCATAAAAATGGTTTTCATGGCACCTATCAACCATTTTGGAAACCATGGAACGTGTCATTGACAAATAAACAACACATGTCAATAGCAGGTATGTGATCCACAAGGTGCAATGACATACTGACACCTAAAATATTAAGGATGTTTCCAATAAGCTTATGTATTTAAACCAACTTGATGCCACATAATAGTTTCTGTTGAACCCATAATTTGATCCTTAGCAAAGTGTGAATAGTATATAATATGGATTTAGGGACGTGAGACGGAGGGCGACCTTGGACGTAAAGGTCGACGCGAATAAAGGGGTTTTCATAACGCTTTGAAACTCATGAATTTTAACACGTCACAATAAGCGTGAGTTCAGGACACTCCCCAGCGCAATGTACACGACTGCAGGTCAGTGCAAGTCATCTGAGACGGGATGTTTCATTATCCGAAAAAGACTTTTCTGACTAACAAGTTCGTTTCGTGTACGATCGCTACCGGCGTTGCAATTAGCTGCGCAGTTATTGAGTTTAGGTGATATTTTTAGGTTTCCGATCGTGCTTCAAGATTTGTCAGACCCGTGTCCGTTGGTTTCACGAAAAGTATTAAACATCTGAGATCTACATCACTTCTGGGTGACATGCCATGATATAAAATTAAACTGGACAACTGCTCAAAGAGGCATTAAACCAAACACACATGCAGATCGATCCCTAGGGATTCAGGGACAGAAATGTTAAATAGTACCCACGTTTAAGAATTGCCTTAAATAGGGATAGGCTGCTTATAACGTGTTACCTTGTTGACTTTGCCCGTGCTATCGACCACTGGTTTGCTCAATCCAAAGACACCAGCCAGCGTTAATTAACGTTTAGCGGACGATGAAACTTGGACAAACAAAATGACTGATAAAGATTAAAACCTCTCGAAAAGATTCATGTGTAACAAGAGCCAAACTGACGGCGTTCTTCAAGAGGCATTGCATTACATATTACATATTACAGTTAATCCGGACATGTGTTGATTCGGGCGATAACACTGCCTGGTGAAATTGACGTGTTTTCGTTGTGCTTGTTGAAATTATTGCCCTTGCTTGTTAATCATGTACTGATGCCTCAATCGTTTTTAACTTGGCATATACTAGTCTACGGATCGTCGGTGACTTGTTCAGATTGTGAGTAGGGGAAAATTGAAATGCGCTGAGAATATCAAAAATGAGATGATTGATAGAGGCGTCCTCGGGTATGTAATGAAACCCTTTGACAAGAATTACAAAACCCTAACTGGGTGAAAAAGCGCAGAATTCCTTCACCATTGATGAAAGACGCACGAAAAGAAAGACGTTTTAACTGGTGGGGTAGGGCTCACGAAAATCAAGATTAGGAAAATGTTTTCTTTTCTGATGAAAGTTCTGTCTGGCTTTTGGACAAAAGATACTGAGAAACCTATCTGCCAACGCCCAAGGCATAGCCCTAAATGTCACATGTGGGGTGGGATATCATCACGTGGAGTGACTGACGCTGTTGTGTGGAAATTTGACGAAGGAACGATATGTTGACATCTTAAATGGTCACCTCTTTCCAACGGCCCGAACACTTTATGAAGATAATTGGATTTTCCAGCATGGTAACGACCCAAAACACACTGCAGGCTACTGTACACAAAACAGTGATTGTCGGACGAAAATGGTCAAGTTTTAGACTGGCCCAGCTACAGCCCACATCTTAAGGCTATTCAGAATATGTGGGGACTGATGAAGGACAGAATAAACAAAAAAGGACTTAGAAATATTGAGGATATGAAGAAAAAAGTGGTCGAATATTGGGATATGCTGTCAAAGGATTTCCAACAAACTTTGACCGGTAGTGTACCTAGGCCCATTCAGTCGTGTATTGCAGGGCAAGGTCTCACAAAGTACTGAAAAGACACTTAGACTGTAAGAGAATCATATCTCAACATATTCATTTAAGTAAAACTTCTATCGTTTATACAAATGTATTAGATATTTGCCGAAACAACTTTCTCAGTAACTTCGGGGAAGACTATACGTAACATAGATACATCAAGAGTATGAGTGAATGAGTGAGTTTAGTTTTATACTGCACTCAGCAATATTCCAGCTATGGCGGCAGTCTGTAAATAATCGAGTCTGGACCAGACAATCAATAGCATGACTGACAGACTGAGTTTGGTTTTACCCCGCTTTTAGCAATATTCCAGCAATATCACGGCGGGGGACACCAGAAAAGGGCTTCACTCATTGTACCCATGTGGGGATTCGAACCCGGGTCTTCAGCGTGACGAGCCAACGCTTTAACCACTAGACTACCCCACCGCCCCCAATAGCATGAGCATCGATCTACGCAATTGGGATACGATGACATATGTCAACCAAGTCATGTAGTCTGACCACCCTTTAGTTGCCTCTTACAACAAGCATGGGTTACTGAAGACCAATTCCAACCCGGATCTTCACGGGTGGAATATGTAACAAGAAGGGAATAGCACTGACAAACAACACCTGTCGAAAATAAACAGAAGTAACACAAGTTGTATCTTTGATACACAGTAATCATGGTAACCATGGCATCAAAAGAAACCCCAGTAATGTCGCTGTCATATATACCATATGTATGCTAGCACTGGAATCATTAGTTATAACTTTTCCCATCTCACATGCTGATTTGTTAGGCCAAAGATGTAAATGCATTTACGTCTTTGGTTAGGCCATACAAAAATAATCATATATTTTTCGTTTTTCCTAAAATACTAAACATATTAGACAAACTTGAAGTACATCAATAACTGTCAGTGATTCACATGAATCATGAATAATTAATACGACTAATATGATGTTGTTTTTCATTAAGTTAAGTATGAAAGAGACACATCTATTTATTATCTTTTTCTGCAAGTACAGCTCAAACCAATAATTCGTTAGAGGTTTGGATAACGAAAATCTATAAATCACTGCATTGTGATTCAAACCAGGGCAATATCTTTAATCTTCCTGTGGAAGCAACAGGTGTAAGAGGTATACAAAATTTGTTACATATATTTTCTCTGATAACTTCATTAGACGTTTTTGCTTCCACTAATTATAACTATTTATGATATTTTAACAATAAACAGGTCCGCCCTCATGCACAAGCATTGTGTAAACAAAATTATCTTGAGCTGAAAATGATGGTTCCAGAGATGTCAAATGTTTTCACTGTTACTGATGCATGCAATTTCCATTTTATGTCATTCCCCACATTCCCCAAGGAATGAAGAATAATGCCAGTTTTGTCCTGGGAGAGGGGTGTCATGATAGGCTTTTATTTCAAACAGATACATATTCATGAATGTATATTGATTCCTGTTTAAGAATCTTTTGTGTTTTAGAAATAATTTTCCTAAGTTTTGCAAACACTCAGACTGTCATTGCTTTAACATCTAAAAAAAGGAAACACCAAACCAGTCATTCCAGATAGACACAAACTGGTTGATGACAACAAATTCTTGGAACATGCATAGGTTCACTGAAAACCATCAAAATGAAGTATTGACATACATGTGTATGCTCTTGTGAACCAAGTTATCAGCGCAATTGGGATAAGATGACATGTGGTGGCGCGTGGTCCTGTGCTCAAAGCTCAGGTCACAAAAGCTCGGAGAGTCCTTGGATGGGTGACCGTGTTTGGCAGCTTGACTCCTGAGAGTTTCTAGGAGTTTCTTGAGTCCTGCCCCAACAAAGAAGCACATGTGACACATGTGGTCTCACCTTAGGCAAGTGAGTTTGTTCAAAATTGTCTCTGTTCACCCAGCAGGAAAATGGGTACCCGGTGGAAAAAGTCATATGACTATAACCTTCTAGCGCCTAACAGGCAGCTTGGGTTATCCGGGGTAATAATGTGCTGTGCCTTGATTGTTAGCGCTATGAGTATACCTAGTGTGGAGTTTGGCGCTATATAAATGGACACATTATTATTATTATTATTACATGTGTCAGCCAAGTTCACGAACCTGACCATCTGATCCTGTTAGTCGCCTCTTACAGCAGCATGGGTTGCTTGTAACCCAGATCTTCACGGATCCAGTAATGATGTAAATTATTTACCCTTGTATAGGTGCACTTAGTGCAGAAATGGGCAATTTTTAATTCAGATTTGGGCATTCTGACTGCCACCTGCTGCAGACTTGGGCTTGATATTAGCAAATCTAGATAAAACCATGTTCACATGAGGTATGTGGTGACATACTGCAACATAAGTAGTATCACATCCGTAAAACAGGGTACTTGGTGTCCTGTCGGGGCAGGTAGGCCGACACAATACCCAGACACTGACTGACAACCTGCAACAGAGGGGGAAGATGGGTAACTAGTTATGTAACTTCTATTCAGATATCATGAGAAAGTCTCAGAAACATGAAAAAATGAAAAAGAAATATTTTTAGAAAATGGTCCTTACTTTCCTGGTATCCTGAGGCAGTATGACTCCATCATCTAATACTCTGGTTGATGTGAACAGGGCAGACATGCGTCCTGTGAACACTTCACGCAAGTCATCTGAAAGTTTTTCTACATCGTCTATTTCTTCTGTTGCAGCTGCCTTTTCCTGGAAGAATGAACTGATATCAGTAACATCTAAGTCACAATACCCGTGAAGATCCGGGTTAGAATATTGATCTTCAGTAATCCATGCTTGTTGTAAGAGGCGACTAACGGGATCGGGTGGTCAGACTCGCTGACTTGGTTGACACATGTCATCGTTTCCCAATTGTACAGATCGATGCTTATGCTGTTGATCACTGGATTGTCTGGTCCAGACTCGATTATCTACAGACCTCCGCCATATAGCTGGAATATTGCTGAGTGCAGCGTAAAACTAAACTAAACTCACTCACTCACTCACAATAACCTACAAAATGAACATGTCTAAACATTGTTACTTAATGGAAGAACATCAGGAAAAGCTTCATCTATATTACTGTAGTCAATCTGTCAAGCCTTTATCTGGCAATGTGTGTGAAGGTATTGGGTACTTGTTTGTCTACTCTCTTCCCACAGAGGTTACTTGTCATATCTTCCTGCTAACCTCTGTTCTAATACAGCCCTTTCATGGATGCGAATGTTAAGGATTCGTTATTGGCTGCAATCAGATTTAGTTGTGAAATCAGTGATGATTAAAAAGTGATCATTCACAAGGCCTCGGTAATATCCGTATGCTTCGGGAAAACTAGAACCTCTTCTAAACTGAACTCAGTCATGTAATGGCGGATCAATGGCGTCTCCATTGCCCTCGTTGACAACGGACAAACTAGCCATTATAAATGTCTTGTGTGTCGCATCAACACAAGTCCACGGCTGAGGAGGGATTTTTGTGGCCCCACATTTGCTTGTATTAGTCAAGTTGGATCTAAGTCGATGTAACGTGTTGGATAGAAAGAAGGGAGATAAGTTGTGTTGCGATTTTTTGCCGCTAGGGGATTTTACGAGACACCGGGAATATGGCCGTATTAGAACAGAGGTTCGTAGGAAGATATGACAAGTAACCTCTGTAGGAAGAGAATGGGGTAATGGCTACTCACCTGTGCAAGGCTACTGGCTACTTGCCTGAACAGGGGAAGTGGCTACTTACCTGAACGAGGATACTGGCTTCTCACCTGAACATGGGTAATGGCTACTCACCCTGAGCAAGGTTACTGGTTACTTACCTGATCAAGGCTACTGGCTACTTACCTGATCAAGGCTACTGGCTATGCTTATTGAGGCTACTGACTACTCATCTGTGCGAGGCTACTGGCTACTCACCTGAGCAAGGTTACTGGCCAGAGTCTTGGGCTCCATTATGCCTGTCACAGCATTTGGCCAGGTGAAGAGAAAGTTTGGACTCACTGCTCGACCACCCTGTTTACAAACAGAAACAAGCCCAAAATTTAGAAAAAGACACTAGCTGTAAAAAATAGAAAGAGTTAAAAAAGAATCAATTATTTTACGACAGGCTCTGTTACCATAATTTATAAACACTCACCATAATGTAGTGAGTTGGTCCAATGCCGTTGCCAACAATGACTGTAATCTTGGGAACTGAAGCACAGCTGACAGCTGAGAACATCTTGCCCTGTGCCTTGAGCTGCTCACTGATAGCCACACCTGGAACACAACACATGATTAGTCATTACTCACAGGTAACCCCTCAACCTCCAACATCAGTTCCCAGAGCTGTTCAGCTGACACATGTCATCGTATCCCAGTTATGTAGATTTGATGCTCATGATGTTGATCACTGGATTGTCTGGTCCAGTCTCAATTATTTACAGACCGCTGCCATATAGCTGGAATATTGCTGAGTACCAGCCCAGTGTGCACCTACCGGGACAATACAACACATACACACATAACTCATTCACCACGTCCCTAACTCTTTATCATTCCTTCATTCCTCCTCACTCACTTACCATCACTGTGAGGCAGCTCCTCTGGGTCCGTGTTCTGTAAGAAGACTATAGGCACATGTCTCTCTGCGCACAGCTGGACGAAGTGGCAACCTTTTACTGCTGCTTCAGTTGATAACCTCCCTTGGTTGGCAATGATGCCAGTGAGATGCCTGTAGCAACACCAATAGTCACTATACTGAAGTAAACCTAATGTGTCATTACCCTTTTTCACAGTAGCTAATTCAGCCATTCCTAAGTTTCTGCATATTAGATGTTACTCTTCAACTGGAGGTATCTCAAAAGCTAACAGGAAAACAAGTCTGTAAAACATTAAGAAAGACCTAATGGGTTAGTCTGACAAATCAGCCCTGAATTATGACTGCCAGTGTTGAAAATGTCTTACATGCCCAACTCACCCCTCAATGAATCCAAAGCCTGTTATCAATGTTTCTCCGTACATCTTCTTAAACTCTCGGAATCTGCTACCATCGACTACTCTACCAATAATCTGCAATAGATGTTCTTGGAATAAATAACTGATGATACATGCTGCTGCCAAAAGTCATGTAGTTATCACCTGCAGGTGCTCAGGGTTGGAGTTTGACCTCGGCAAACATATGCATGTCTGAATACTGAATCAGGTTGATTGTCAATAGACAGCAGGTGCCCTTACCTTGTGCATGTCAATAGACTTGTTGCCTGCTGCCACTAATCCTGGTAACTGACTAGAGTCGTACAGTGGCTGTTCCGGCTCCCTCGTCACACCAGATGCACAATCCACATTAAGGCTGGCAATTATATCTCTTCCCATTGAAAATGCTTCATCTTCATCTGCGGCAAAGTGATCTGTGCACCCGCTCACTCTAGAGCAATCAAACAAAACATTAACGACATAGCATGCTAGATGTTTCAATTGAGTTTCAGATAATATGAAGGCTGAAAGCTGATAACCAGCATTATCATGTAATAAAAGGTGTTATCGGTGCCATAAAGCAATCTAATAAACTTGGTATCCAAATCTGATAAATATCCAAATTAGGTCAATACATAAACTACTTTCACGAAACTCCGTACATGCCATGCGAATCCTAAAACGTTAACGTTTCATTGATGACGTCGTCACAAGTTTACAGGGGATTTTCCATTACATGGGCGAACATGATGTATGAACGACCTCCACCTTGGTGTACCGCTAAGTATTCTTACATGAATGCTCGATTTCCTTCATATAATAATTATTCACGTAAGATTTGCTTCTTTTTTTAGAGTAATTTTAAGAATGACATTACATGATAAAGAGATTATTAAGTCAAAGGCTCTCATAATACAATTTTTATTCCTAATATATGATATTAATGATACTCAGTTAATAATCTCTGTATATGAAGGTTTGCTTATAAATGTGTCAGATAAAAGGAAAGTTGGTTAAAATAGTGTTGTATAACATGGATGCCTTGTATGAGAGCGTCTTATCATATGGACACTGGTTCAGCGTGTGTCAGACTGCATGGAGGCTGGTTTAGAGAGCAACAGTTTATATGCAGACTGATGAGGTATACTGAAGTAAAATTAATTCACAAATGAAGTAATGAAGAGTAAGTGTTTGAAAGTATCAAATTCAATAGAGGTGAACTACATGTAAGTTCAAATGGCCTTCAAATTGAGAACGGAGAAACATGAAGACATCAACCTACTTGCAATGCAGAGTGGCGCCCCCAAGGTCCTCTGCTGTGATTATCTCCCCTGTGGCTGCCTGCACTAAGGGTGGACCACCAAGGAATATGGTGCCCATCTTGTGCACTATCACTGCCTCATCAGCCATGGTCGGGACGTACGCTCCTCCTGCAGTACAGCTGCCACAGACTATAGCAACCTTGTAGAAAATAACCAACACAGGTATTACATGGGGTCAGATTGTAGGAGGAGACAAATGTGTACCTTCCAGTTCACTTGATGAATCAGTAAGTTGGGCTTATAGCTTAAAAAGTACACCAGTTATGCCAAGGTCATCCTCGATAATATCTAGGGTATACGTTACGATCAATCTCCACTATACCCTGGATGCATCCATAGCTTGGCCCTATAATATTATTACCTCCCTTGGCTGGCTCCGCATTCTCACAGTAGCCAATCAGCTAAGCCACCGTTACAACTGAGCTTGCCAGTGTCAACAAAGATAGCGTCACAGTCGCGAAGGTTTGTTCGCAGTGCCACTCACATTTTGGGTAAATAATACAGACAAACTGAGAGATCTGAAACTTTAAAAAATATATGAAAGATCTCCTTCTACCTCTTTCAGAGTACCTCTACATCAATTGTGTTGTCTTGTTTAAACTTTTAGATAATTTTAGAAGCAAAAGTGAGTTGTGTTTGGTATGCTCAACTTCCCAGCGTAGACACCTGATTGGATAAAAAGCCAGCCAAGGGAGGTAATAAAATCATCGGGCCAAGCCGTGGATGCATCCAGGGTATAGTGAAGAGTGATCGTTATGTACACCCTGGAGATTATCGAGGATGTGTCAAGGTGGGTCAGTTCAAACGGAGAAGAAAGACCAACAGGATTCAGGTTACAGGCGTTTTACAAAAGAGTGTGCAGTGAGTGAGTGAGTTTAGTTTTATGCCGCTTTAAGCAATATTCCAGCAATATCATGGCAGGGGACACCAAAAAACAAACTAGGACTTTGGACCAACAAACGATGGATCCAGGGTATGCAACAGTGAAATTCATTTATTGAACTAAAACCTTAACCTGAAATGTTCATAATGAGGGCAAACATGGGATCTGAACTCACAGTTTTCATCCTTGACATTAATCTGACACAACAGCTATATTATCAAAGCAGCACTTAACCGCAATAGTTTTAACTTAATTGAAGGGGCAATATTACAACTCTGCCCCTTAAGCTTGTAGTACATAAACATGGTCTGCAGCAAGCTCATGAAGCACCCCACCTTCCAGGTGAGATGACACAATTAGCCAGGGTCCTAGTTCAATCTTAGTGCTAAGGTGATGGTAACTCTGATACTTTAACACAAACTTTAATCATCTTATAATTTTGCTTTGCTGAACAAGGCCCTTCATTATCAATCACTGGCAGACAAACAGAAACAGTAACAACACACTTTCCACAATCTTTTGAAATCTCTCCTGAAAGCATAGTTCTGTGCATGAAGTGCATTGCTTGAAGACAAGAACACTGACACTCCTCTAACAATAAACATAATGATTACAGTTGATATTTTGGTCAGTGTCATGCAATCATTGGTTGTTAGTGCACTCACAACAGGTTCATGTCTGAAAGCAGGGCTCGATTTAAGAGATGTTAACCTGCTTGCACCAAGTGCAACCTAAGATAGAAATCTAGTTGCACCAGCCAAATTCCAGTTGCAACGTAGTGTGCTAAAACGTCAGAGGTTTCGGTGCACATAAACATATTTCCGTGATGTTGTACCCATGAAACCATAGCAACACAGAGACACAGCTGGTTCCTGTTTACTCGAGCTGTCATAGCCAAGAGGTGTCTATAAATAGCAAATTTTTGAAGCCATAGCTATTCAAAGTTTAGAAGAAATATGAGCTGACATATTTATGCTTATCATGTTAGATTTATTGTTGATATAATTCTAGAAACTTGACTTGCACCAGTGCAAGTCAGACTAATAACTAGGTTGCACTTTGTAATATTGGGTTGCACCAGTGCAAGTATCAAAGCACTAAATCGAGCCCTGGAAAGGTATTCAATGTTTCTCCAATCTTCATTTGATACATAAAAACGATGTTGTCATCCAACAATATTGTTATAAGATACAATTCCCATATCTGGCATTCTCACGCACACGTCTCCACGAGATGCACAGACAGAAAGCAAGTTATTTAAGGGAGATAATCACAAAAAGTCTAAGCTTTCCGCTAACAAAAAAGAAATAAGAAACCAAATTTCTGTTACACTGGCCTATTTTGCAGCCTTACCTGATGGATCTTCATGGAAGATAATACAGCCTCGTTGTAGAATGTCTGCCCACCTGGATTAAATATCTCTGCCTGTAAACACATTAAAGAAAACAGGCATACGTCAACGCCATCTGTACAGACTGGAGACATGGTTCTGAGTGAGGTGAGGTGTGATGAAACGGAGTTTAATTTCACATTCAAGTCTATTGCAGGGGGCAATATTTATATGATTTCTATGGCTGTATAGTGTCAGTCCACATAGATACTATGTCATACTTTAACCTTAATACCTCACTCAGAAACTTAATTTATTGTGCAACCCTAACACGCCTTTCAGGTTGCCCTGTATTTCAGTCTTCTGATCAAACACTAATTGGCCTGGTGGGGATGTGTGCAAAATATGCATTATGTTGGAAAGCGCAGATAAAATCTCCAAATCATCAACATCACTCAGAAACTTCATACTGACTCTGAGGAGACAAGTCAGTGTTGTCTCCCCTTAATGCTGAACACCAGGAAGGGAAACAACAATAACCTTCCACTCTCCAGGAAGTTCGCTGTTGTTCTATCCACTGGAGCACAGAGGTGGTCATGTCCGAAAAGGAATTACCTTGATAGAACATACTGATTACAGGTTGGTGCATAAGTAGTGCCATAAATCAGTCCATGCCACAAAGTACTGTGATACACATATACTGTCAGGGCGGTGGGGTGGCCTAGTGGTTAAAGCGTTCGCTCATCATGTCGATGACTCAGGTTTGATTCCCCACATGGGTACAATGTTTGAAGCCCTTTTTTTTTGTCCCCCGCTGTGATATTGCTGGAATATTGCTAAAAGCGGCGTAAAACAAACCTCACTCACATATACTGTCACACATTTTTCAGTACATAAACACTCCGAAGTATCATATCAAGACATTTGTTTATTTACCTGTAGTGGGAGAAAGGCTCCCCCTGAATCAACAACATAGATGCATGGCAGTCTGTTCTGGTGAGCTATTTCTTGTGCCCTCAGCTGCTTCTTCAGTGTTACAGGATACACTGAGCCTCCTTTCACTGTAGCATCATTGGCCACTATCATGCAGTACCTGCCCATCACCCTGCCTATACCTGTACACAGAAACATGCCAGTGTGCAAACAAGGGGTAAATATTGGAAAAAGAAGAGTGAAGAGGTCAGTATCATGCCATCAAGGAGGTGCAAACAAGGGGTAAAAATTGGAAAAAGAAGAGTGAAGAGCCACTGCATGTGGCTAATCTGTGGCAATTTGACAAAATTCAAAATAATTTGTAAAATTACAAATTCAAAACTGACATCAATTAGATTATTTTTTACATATCATCCATATGATAGCATACTGCATTCTGGGATCATCTATTGCAGTGATTGAGGTTTTATAGTTTTAATGGTTTCAAATATTCATTAATGCATGTACATTTATATGATACAGATTAACTATACATGATTTATGATACATCTTGTATGGGTTCGAGAAATGTGTTACACATTTATGTCATTGAATGTAGGTTAGGCACATACATCTATTGGTACCCGTATCAAATAAATTGGCCACACTTTGTACCTGTAACCACTCCTGCTTTTGGAACATCCCCATACTGCATTCCTAAACCTGCAACTGGGGACAGTTCAAGAAATTCCTGTTCATTGTCTAACAATAACTTTAATCTATCTTGAACAAGCAGTTTCTTATTTCGTTTAGTGTGCCTCTCTATGGCTTTCTGTCCACCACCCATTTGAGCTTTTTGCAACATTTCTAACAACAAATTCTCTCTTTCTTTAGAGGCAGCTATGTTTTTGGAATAACTAGGTTGATTCACATCTACTTCTGCATCTAAAACTGGATAAGGCTTCATTTTGTAATGTTTTGCAACTTGTGAATAAAGGTGTTTGCTATTTGAATGAAATTTAGCAACAAGTGAATAAGAGTTATTGACACTAAAACAGTTTGACAGGCTTCCATGTGAAGATGAAGGCTGCAGCTTTGTTTTGGACAGTTTGATCAAAATTGATGTCCTTTGAAAAGTGTTCATTTTGACGAACACAGGTGTCCTTCTGATGAGGCCAAAGGTTGTTGAAGGGGCATAACTCCTGTCATGGCATGGAGGGCTACTTAAATTATACTAATGTGTCTCTAAAACGAATTGCATGTTTTTAGAAAAACGTATAAAACGAGCATATATAAAATCACGACTATCTGTATACCAATTATTATATTATTATAATAACTGAAATTAAACCAACATTCTTATGTGAATAAAGATGGAACAAAGATATTTTTGTTACGATCTCATTTCGACACACCCTTCCAATTTTGTTACTGGTAAAATGGCGGCGCCCATGAAATCTATTCGCTTTGTCAACAAATACGAACTCTAACACGATTTTAGGATATATGAAGTTGCTGCATTATTGTTTTGTCACGTAGAACAAGAAGAGGACATTTTGAAGCATGGTCCAGTAAACTTTCTCAAGGTAAACATCTTGGATTGATGGAGTTTTTCGACGATATTATCTTTGGTTTCCTCAGCACTGACAACATACGAAAGGCTTTATTATTTTGTCGTTTGTGACACAACAATGTACTACAACAGCAAATCACAGGCTTGTGAATAGATAGTGTTTCACGTGAGAATGAATGATATGGCTGTATATCAATGTTATGTAATTAATCCGGCTAGAGGTTGACAGCTTAATCGGTAAGAGTTCCTCCCGTTCTCCCATCCCAAATAATATTTATAAATATACTAAAATAATTAACAAAACTTAACACAACAATTACTAGAGAACTCACAAAATGACTAAAAGTCCAAAATTTAAGTTAGGGTTAGGTTTAGAATTTGGTTTAGGGTTGGGGGAACGGAAGGATCTCTTTCCACATTGTCATCATGGTAAAGACCTGTCACACTAAACAGTGATAAATATCATGAACATAAGTGAAAGAAATCCATGTACATGATTAATATGACATACATAATTATAATTCGTATGTTTTATATTTGTTTTCCAGTTTCACTTCAAATACAAATACTAGTATTACTGAAAGAGAAGACCAGTTTAAAAATTTTCCGCTAAAATGGCTGCTGGAAGTGATGTTCGAGACATTCTTGAGTTGGAGCAAGCTCCAGAAAAGGAAATGGTCACCAAAGAATCCTTAATGAATGATGGGAAAAAGGTAAGTGTCAATATAGGTAAATTGACATTATGTATTTCAAATTCAGATGTTTGTGACATTTTTAACTTATCTATTTACATGTCCTCAGTACAACGTGGCAGTCTCGGGCTGATGGTCTTGCTTGTAATTTGAAGGCTGTTTATCCAGTCATCACTGTCTTGAAAAATATATATTTATGTAGTGATTCATCATGTTTGTCATATTTATAGTCTTTGTCTTGATTATTTACATAGTCTATGAGTTTGGTATGATTAGTAGGCTATGTTTTAGAAAGTTCAGTTCTTATATAGCATGTTTAATGATTTAGCACTTATCATGCCTATCAGTATGTTTTCGTATACGGTCACATTGAGGTGAGTGCTAATAATGACATGCCACAAAACATGCTTTATGAAGGTTTTACATGTCAAAGGTTTATAAACAGTGATAGAAAGAATGTTAAATGTTACATTTCAGAAAAAACCAAAGAAGTCTGAACTGACTTTTAAGCGACCAGAGGGCATGCACAGGGAGCTGTGGGGTCTACTGTGGACTGACAACAAGTAGGTACCTCGATGTGACGAAGTACAGACGATAACTGGGCACCCTGTAGTGATGTAGGGCATACAAATAGGTATATCTAGAACAGACAAGTAGGTACTTTGATGTTGTAACAGGAACGGCTTTACAACATACGACCATGATGCTTTGCGTTGTGTTTTGTGTATTCAGAATCAAAGCCGTCCTGTTCCCAGTTCATGGATGCAGAGGAGCAATTAAAAAAAACAAATTTCTCAAATAAAGACATAATTTATAACAAATTATAGACTCAACAGAAACAACTTAAACAATAAACCAAGTCTAACAAATTCCTGAGAACAAAAGATATACAAACACAGTCACTTAAAATATTTTACTAATACACTAACCTACTTTCTCCTAACCCAACCCTCTTAACTTCACATAAGCCACCCTCTTAAAATAGCACTACATCCTACCTACAGTCTACTGTTCCTACACAAGTCTACTAAATTCCTACTGTCTAGCGTGTACCATAGCACTAAAATCCAACCGGCCGTCCCCACTAATCAATTTACCCCAAACTACACAGTCTTACTCAATTTCTCTTTATTGGCCAAAAATAAACTTAAGCCTAACAGGGAATGGAATAGGGGCTCATTGTTCCGTCACGGAACATCTTATAGCCCCATCATGGGACATATTACGGTGTATTACCTCACCTCTGATCGGTCGCCAATCACACAGACACTGAACAATTCATGTTTCACGCTTAAATACCCAGTAGCTGCCCTACGTCTTACATAACACCCAACACACGATTGGCCAGCCAATCTGCCCACCACCAATCAGAACTGCTCATACCAAACAACCTGACTGCAACAGAAAATGGCGGCGAAAACAATTCGACCACAGACAGAACAAAAACAGTATGATACCCCAAACCATGCAGGAAATATATTTCCTGCACCCATGACCAATGAAGGGTACAGTTCCTAAAGTAAGTTAACGACCAACACCCGGAAGTAAAATGTCTAGATCCTCACGAAATGAAAACACGTGCTCCCAGTTACAATGTGATAGAGTGCAAACAACAACTAGGCACCTTGAAGTGATGTAGGGCATATAGACCTACTTTCTCCTAACCCAACCCTCTTAACTTCACATAAGCCACCCTCTTAAAATAGCACTACATCCTACCTACAGTCTACTGTTCCTACACAAGTCTACTAAATTCCTACTGTCTAGCGTGTACCATAGCACTAAAATCCAACCGGCCGTCCCCACTAATCAATTTACCCCAAACTACACAGTCTTACTCAATTTCTCTTTATTGGCCAAAATAAACTTAAACCTAACAGGGAATGGAATAGGGGCTCATTGTTCCGTCCATTGAACATCTTATAGCCCCATCATGGGACATATTACGGTGTATTACCTCACCTCTGATCGGTCGCCAATCATACAGACACTGAACAATTCATGTTACGCGCTTAAATACCCAGTAGCTGCCCTACGTCTTACATAACACCCAACACACGATTGGCCAGCCAATCTGCCCACCACCAATCAGAACTGCTCATACCAAACAACCTGACTGCAACAGAAAATGGCGGCGAAAACAATTCGACCACAGACAGAACAAAAACAGTATGATACCCCAAACCATGCAGGAAATATATTTCCTGCACCCATGACCAATGAAGGGTACAGTTCCTAAAGTAAGTTAACGACCAACACCCGGAAGTAAAATGTCTAGATCCTCACGAAATGAAAACACGTGCTCCCAGTTACAATGTGATAGAGTGCAAACAACAACTAGGCACCTTGAAGTGATGTAGGGCATATAGAGAAGTAAATACTTGATATGATGCAGTTTAGACAACAACTAGGCACTAGAATGCTGTTATGTCATAACACACTCAGTGACGTCACATGCTTCCATCTTTCCAGCTTGGTTAGCATAATGTTGAAAATAACAAGTAAATCAAAGTTTTTCTGATAAACATGATAAAGCATGGTTCCACCAACGTAATGGCTCAATTTGTTTTTAGGTTTGTGATTGGGTAAAAATTTATTCTAATCCGGAAAAGTGTTCATATGCTGTGGAAAGTACGAAAGATACCCATGATCCAGTCCAAATCAACAGCATATTCCTACTTGGATTGAAGCACATGGTTCTGTTCATGTTACAATTGATGATTGATAAACTAACCAATAGCATTCAAACTGAGAAAAAAATGAATGAAAACTGATGCTTAATTCATTGAGATCATTGTGGTCATGAATTCAGTAATTATCATAATGTATGTCAAATGTACATTGTTGACTAATGTCCTGTTTGGAGCTTGTTGAGGCTAATGTCATTTTTATGTTCTTGCTATGGATACAGAGATGCTCCTCCCATCATCCCCTCTGACACCAATCAGGGTTATAAACAGATGAAGGCCAAGATCGGCAGCAGCAGAGTTCGACCCTGGAAATGGATGCCATTTACTAATCCAGCCAGGAAGGTTTGCAATCTATAGCGTCCTTTGTAAAGAATAGGGCTGCATCGATTCACCCAGACCTCGATTCGATTTTTGATATTGGACCCTCGATACGATCATTTTCGATTCAATTCTACATACAGGTAAAATCATCAGATTTCATTTAACTCTCAGAGTCAGCTTTTTTTATCGTGAAATCCATCGTCAACTTGGTGATGTCTACTAACAACAACTGTCATTTTATAATTAGCCCCCCATCAACCAATCACGTTTCACCTTATTTCAGCTCTCCAAACTGCTCGAGCTGGAGTCAAAATTACGTTCTGGCTGTGTGTAAATAATCTAAATAGGTATTCAAATATTGAATCGAAATAGTGATAATGGTTATCGAAAAGCAAAACTAAGGTGTCAGATTCAATTTTCGATGGATCGAACTGAATCATTGCAGCCTTAGTAAAGAAACCACTTTTGTTATGGTTTGCGATTCCTGTTTCATTGTTTCATTTCTGGGAAGGGCGGTGGGGTAGTCTAGTGATTAAAGCATCTGCTTGTCATGCTGAAGACCTGGGTTCAATTTCCCACATGGGCACAATGTGTGAAACCCATTTCTGGAGTCCCCCACCATGATATTGCTGGAACATTGTTAAAAGCGACGTAAAACCATAATCACTCACTCATTTCTAGGAAAGATTGATGTTTATTCTCCACGAAGGTACATTGAGTGAGTGAGTGACAATGACAATTTTTAAATTGAAAATGCAAATTTTAGGTGTGAAATAGGTCCCATCTGACTGTTGCTGTTATGACACACACTCCCACTCAGATGATGAATGTTGGAGACTGATGGTCTCATTGTTCAGATATGAAGCAGCATACTTCAAGGACCCATTGAACATGCCCTGATATGAGTCATCAGTAATCACAGCCGTTATTATATTGTTTGATATTTTGCTGATGAACATGGTCATTACAAAAGTTGGATTCTGATGAATCAGAGTAATCTTTCAGGATGGTGCTATCTTCTACCATTATCGAAGAGTTGCAGATGAGGGGAGAGACTACCCATTTGCTCGTTTCAACAAGGTGAGGAATATTACATGTCTTACCGTATATCTACTTAATATATCTATCATATTTCTTTAATGAAACGACTCCACGTATAAGGTAACTCCAATGTATATACCTAAAAATTGATGTTACATATACCCATCTGTTAAGCGATCCTGAAAAAAGCACATCATCAGCATACACGATCCCTATTTGTGCAATATAAATTGTTTGTTTGCCATTGCCTTTTATACGATGCTTGGTTGGGTAGAGCACCAGCACATGGTGCCATATTGTGTGTTGGCATAGTGTTACACCAAATTGAAGACAGTCAAAAATCTGTCCATTTTAACTACCAAAGTAAGTTAGATTTACCTTTATCTGTTCTCAGGCAAATTGTGTCTGGTAACCATAATTTACTGTACATGGAAAGGTTGGTACTCACAGATTTAGCTATCAGACACTATGTGGTGACCTGGTTAGATTAGGTCCCCAGCACCCTATTGCTTATAGCAAGAGGCCTCAAAATCTGATCAGGTGTTCATGTATGATGAATTTAAGCTTGAGTATCATTGTTCTGTGACATCATGGTATTTGGCTTGTAATATCAACCACTTGTCTATCTCCATTGTTTACAGACGTCTTTGATATAGCTTGAGATTGCAGACAACAGTGTTTAACAACATTCCCTATCTCAGGTTAAAGACATCTTGTTCAATGGTTGAAGGTTTTAAGTAAGGTTGTATTTGACTCATTGCTTTCTGTCTACAGAGTGTGGATGTGCCGACCTACTCTGACCTTGAGTATCAGCAGCATCTGCATGACGACAACTGGCCACGCCAGGAAACTGATCACCTCTTTGATCTCTGTAAACGTTTTGATCTCCGATTCATCATCATTCACGATCGATGGGACAGAGAGAAGTACCGAGATCGCAGTGTTGAGGACCTCAAGGAGAGGTATTACAATGTATGTAATACCCTGTCAAAGGTAAGAGAAGAAAAGACCTTGTGACTGACAAATTCAGCAAAACTTACAATAGTTAGCAAGTTTATTTCCAACTGATTTCTCAGTAGTAAACATGTAAAATAAGTATGCACTCCTTTACCAATGAAACACCAGTATATTCCTGTAAGGGGAAATGTTTGATGCACATTTTTAGTGTCCCAACTCTGATTTTGCTAGAATATTGCTATACGAGGCATTAAACCAAATGCACTCACAATCCCTTTTCTTTTCAGACAGGGCTAGTTTGTCCTCATTCAACATGTTTTGAACACTTCATTGACATATTTCTCTTGATGCTACGTCCTTCTCTTCCAGGTTCGTGCCCCGCAAGGTTCCGAGCCAAAGATCAAAGCATTCGATGCAGAGCATGAGAGAAAGAGGAAACTACAACTCATAAAGTTGTTTGACAGAACACCGGAACAGGTGAGGAAATCTCAAGGTTTCACCTGTGGAGATTTGGGGCGGTTGGGTAGCTGAGTGGTTACAGCGTTCACTCGTCACGCCGAAGACCCAGGTTCGATTCCCCACATGGGCACAATGTGTGAAGCCCATTTCTGGTGTCCCCCGCCATGATATTTCTGGAATATTGCAAAAAGCAGCGTAAAACCCAACTCAATCACTCACTCACCTGTGGAGATCTGTTTTATAACTTATGTTCAGATACCCATGCTTGTACTAGGAGGCGAGTAATTTGATCGGGTGATTCGGTTGCTGCATGTCATCTTATCCTTTTTGTGTGGATCGATACTCATGCTGTCATAAACAGGATTGTCTGGTCCAGACTCAATTATCAGAACTAGGTGTTTAAAACTTGAACTATCATTGAACTGAACAAACAAATATACTCTTCAGCTCAGCTTTCTGTATTAAATAACTCTGATAAAGGAAGTGAAACATTGGTTTGTTGATTTTCACAGTAGTCAGACACATGAACATGGAAGCCATTTTGTTTTCATGGTCTGTTTGTTGATCAGGTGGAGGAGGAAGACTACCTCATTGCAGAGCTGAAGAAGATTGAGCTGAGGAAGAAGGAGAGAGAAAAGAAAACTCAAGATCTACAGAAGCTCATCACAGCAGCAGACAGCAGCATTGACAGTCGGCGCACAGAGAGGAAGACAACCAAGAAGAAGGTCAACCCACAACAGAAGATCAAGGAAATTGGGGTTAGTACTGAAAGTGGAATTAATGCGAACATGGATCCAAAGCATCATAGACACCCATGGGATGTCCAGGACATCATAGACACCCATGGGTTGTCCAAGGCCTCATAGACACCCATGGGATGTCCAAGGCATCATAGACACCCATGGGATGTCCAGGACATCATAGACACCCATGGGTTGTCCAAGGCCTCATAGACACCCATGGGATGTCCAAGGCATCATAGACACCCATGGGATGTCCAGGACATCATAGACCCCCGTGGTATGTCCAGGACATCACAGACACCCATGGGATGTCCAAGGCCTCATAGACACCCATGGGATGTCCAAGGCATCATAGACACCCATGGGATGTCCAGGACATCATAGACACCCATGGGATGTCAAGGACATCACAGACACCCATGGGATGTCAAGGACATCACAGACACCCGTTGGATGTCCAAGGCCTCATAGACACCCGTGGGATGTCCAGGACATCATAGACACCCATGGGATGTCCAGGACATCATAGACCCCTGTGGTATGTCCAGGACATCACAGACACCCGTGGGATGTCAAGGACATCACAACACCCGTGGGATGTCCAGGACATCATAGACACCCGTGGGATGTCCAGGACATCACAGACACCCGTGGGATGTCCAGGACATCACAGACACCCATGGGATGTCAAGGACATCACAGACACCCGCGGGATGTCAAGGACATCACAGACACCCGTGGGATGTCAAGGACATCACAGACACCCGTGGTATGTCCAGGACATCATAGTCACCCATGGGATGTCCAGGACATCATAGACCCCTGTGGTATGTCCAGGACATCACAGACACCCATGGGATGTCAAGGACATCACAGACCCCCGTGGTATGTCCAGGACATCATAGACACCCGTGGGATGTCAAGGACATCACAGAAACCCGTGGGATGTCAAGGACATCACAGACACCCATGGGTAGTCCAGGACTTCATAGACACCCATGTGAAGCCCAGGACATCCTAGACACCCATGGGATGTTCAGGGCATCATAGACACCCATGGAATGTCCAGGACATCATAGACACCCGTGGGATGTCCAGGACATCACAGGCACCCGTGGGATGTCCAGGACATCACAGGCACCCTTGGGATGTCCAAGGACATCACAGGCACCTGTGGGATGTCCAAGGACATCACTGACACCCATGAGATGTCCAGGACATCATAGATACCTGTGGGATGTCCAGGGCATCTTAGATGCCCATTGGAAGTCCCAAAACCTGGATGTTCAGGGCTAAATAGGTTCTCATCAATGGAGACAGGATTAACTTGTTGATTTTAGTTTTTATTCTTTTCGGTACAGATACCAGTGTACATCTTTTGACAACATGGTCATCATTGGTGTGTGAAAACCTGTATTGCTAAACTTTTACATAAACCACTACACACAGAAAACATTCTAATATATAATTCACACATTAAATGATATTTTTAACATTACAAATCCTGGATGGATTTGAGCCTGATCTTTGATGATTTCCATTACTTTCAGACGACACCAGATTCAGGCGGGATCAAGTTTGCAGATTTCAAACAGTCTGGTGTTTCTCTCAGGAGTCAAAGGGTGAGGACATATGTTAAAATTGTCATTGCTGTGCCAATAAAGTAATTTAAGTGCTTTAGTGTTTCCTTCATATTTGTTATTAAAAGGAATGCCAGTCCTGTCTAAGTCAAACCTGTTTTTCTCCTAGATGAAATTGCCTGCATCGATTGGTCAGAAGAAACTGAAAGCTATTGAACAGGTCCTTGAAGAACTTGGAATTGGTAAGATTTTGTTGGCTCAATTTAGAAACTATTGCCTTTAGTTGTGACTTTCAAACATTTGGTACAAGACTGAGAATCCTCCTTACTTATGACACATTAGTGAGACAGGGTTGTGGAGATTTATTTCTTTACTACTTGAATCAGGGGATTAATAAATTGGGGCTCTGAATGGAAACAAGTTTGGCTTCAACTGAATTTATTGGTAGTGCTCCTTTCTGGAGCAGAACTTTGAAAACTTTCAGTACTCTCCTTCCACGTAGTTATGTACACGCTTAATTTGCTTAATTCACTGGCAGAGAACATATTGTCATAAATCCTGTAAGGATGTTTGAAGATGCATCTTGATTATTTGTGTTAGGTATATTTAGTGCCTCCTAATACTATAATATCATGACTGTGGTCCTGTTTCCCATAAGAAGTTTTCCTGGTGACAAATATGTTTATGTTTCTATTTTTCCAGAATATAACCCAATGCCAACTGAAGATATTGTTCACCACTTCAATGAGCTGCGGCAGGACATTGTGTTGTTGTATGAGCTGAAGCTGGCTCTTGCTAACTGTGAATATGAGCTGCAGACACTACGCCATAGAATGGAGCCAGATGGCTCCGCACAGGTATGTATCCAGTATGAGCTGTGACCAGTGCATGAAATAAGCCAAAAACCCAGCCAGACATCTGGGCTGGTAACTTCAAATGTTACCAGCCCAAAATGGATTTAACCACACCAGACAATCCAAAGAAAATAACTCAATTTTTAGTTATTGTTTAAACACTGTTTTAGTGATAATATATGTCAACGCAGCGCTTTGAGCTTGCGATACGACAGTTCAATGTTCAAACAGTAATTGTCAAGTCTAAATGCAAAGCTCAATTTGAAAAATAGATTTTAAGATATGGTGAATTCACAACATGTTATCTAAAATTATTACCAGACCATCGGGCCGGCGAGCTGTAAAATTTAGACTGTCCGTCAGACTGTCATCTCGGGCAGTCAGACGGGCCTTATTTCATACACTGCTGTGACATAGAGGAACAGGAACGTCTTCCTGTGTCAGTATAGCTGTAACATAGGAACAGGAACGTCTTCTTGTGTCAGTATTAGCTGTGACATAGAGGAATATCAGCATAGGGGAATTTTTAGTGTTGTTATTAACGATGAAGTTGTTCCATGTTGTTAGCAATGTTAAAGTCATAAGGTGATCATACCATACCACTGTCATCTCCCATCTTTCACATCAAATTACAGCTGTCATAGTGCTATGATCTCATTGTGAAACAGGGCCCAGAGCCTTAGGTTATAACTGTCTTGCAACTTAAATATATATTGTCTTATATCTACAGTATTTACAACTCATCTCTTCCAGCCATTAGAAATTGACCCGTTGGGTACTCCAATAGGAGGGATGGTCATCAAGACAGAGCCCCCATCCCTGCCCCCATCTGCTCCCTCCACTCCAGCCCCTGACCCAGGATCTGCATCCACCAGCATCACGCCTCCATCTGCAGGTGCTATCTTTGACCCCCAGTCGGCAGAGTCTCCCAACAAACAGAAGAAGCTCCTGGAGACGATCGATGTTGTCGGAGTAGGCGCTCCAGGAACACCTAATGTGAGTCATATGGTCTGGACAGACTGGCCAGTTCACTAGTTGATACGATCTATAACCCCCAACTGATGCCATCTATTGTCCTATTCTCACAGAATCTCCTACTTGTGTAATACCAAGGTCTTTATAGGTGTTATTTTATGAACAGAAATAGTATGACCATGAACAAAGCCATATCATGAACAGTCATATAATGTGAGTCATATGGTCTGGACAGACATATCATGAACAGACTTTATGAACAATACCATATCATGAACAGACACATAATACCATAACAGACACATAATGAACATGAACAGACACATCATGAACAATACCATACCATGAACAGACACATAATGAACAATACCATACCATGAACAGACACATAATGAACAATACCATAACAATACCATACCATGAACAGACACATAATGAACAATGCCATACCATGAACAGACACATAATGAACAATGCCATACCATGAACAGACACATAATGAACAATGCCATACCATGAACAGACACATAATGAACAATGCCATACCATGAACAGACATATAATGAACAATGCCAAACCATGAACAGTCATATATCATTCTGGGATCTGTGTCATAATGCTCTGAAAAGAATCTTTACAGATCTACTCAACACTTGTTCATTATATTTGCAAAGGAAATAAAGCTCAGAAAATTAGGTTTGCTGTTCAGCAGTTACCTACCAAATATGTCACAAATATTACTGGTGATTACCAGATGTGTAGTTTTCTTATAAAAGTTAGTGAAAAGTAACTTCCCGTAGAAACATATGTTGTAGTGCCAATATTCTTAAGTCACATAGAATATCTTTGGAAACATGCTCTTGTATAACAGACTCAAGTCATCACAGACGCACACAAACATGTTCTTGCACACATCTGGTGACAGTTTTATTATTCATGTACTTTATTTTGCAGAGAAAGCGGAAGGCTGCCCTGGAACAAAGCAACATTCTGAAAAAAATCAAACAGAAGCCCTAAGGAAGGCCTCCTCAGTGTATGGATAGAACTGGAAGCTAGGAACAGTAACTTCATGCAGAATTCCATCCAAGTTGACTGAATACAACACTTTGGCCTGGCATTCTGAGACATGACTGGTCCTGTGAGGCTGTGTGTAATATGCGGTGCAGAGTTGTCTCCCTTTGTTGACAAGGATTTAGCACTGTTGGTTCAAATCCAAGATTCTGCCTGATTCTGATAGCTGGTTTGTTGGCACCATATTCATGCTCATAGATTTCGCAAATTTGGTGAACATTTGTGTCACAGTGATCTTGTTTCATACAGGGACGTTATAATCAGGGATCTGAGCAACTCACTCACTATGGGGTAGCCTAGTGATTAAGCCGTTTGCTCGTCACAACGAAGACCCAGGTTCGATTCCCCACGTGGGCACAATGTTTGAAGCTCATTTTTGGTGTCCCCCTCCGTGATATTGCTGGAATATTGCTAAAAGCGGCATAAAACTAAACACACTCACTCACCCACTCACTATAAGGATAGGTGTTACAAAGATGGTGGTATCAGTGCATCAAAACATACGTGAAGGCCTTTGTTTAATAAACTGAGAAAAGATTCACCTAGGTTAAAGTGAATACTGCGTTTCCATGTTAATAACACTTGAACCCCCAGGGATTGCCAGTTAGAGCTGGCACCAGTAAACTATGTGTGTTATGTGAGGTGGCCAAATGGATTCATAGAGAGGCCCTGTGAAGTATTGATTGCATGTCATCATACCTAAGAGTGTGGGTCATTGCTCACGATATCTATCACCGGTTTGTCTTGCACAGACTGGATCATTAATAGACCATTGTCATGTAGCTGGAATATTGCTGAGTGTGTTAGACAAAACTAAACAGAGGAAGCATACATCAGTGCAGGTTAAACTTTCAATTCAATTCAATTCTCTACTATATCTCAGCAGAAACAGATGTGATCAGGGCCCTATTACACAAAGCAGTCTCTTAGTGCTGAGACTATAATAAGGAAGGTTCTAATTTGCGAATCATCATAACCTCAATGCTAAGATAGCTTTGTGCAACAGACCCCTTTTGCTTTCTTTGGCACATTTTGGCAATAGGGTAGCTAAGTGGTTCCAGCATAACCTCGTCACGCTGAAGACCCATGTTCATTCCCCACACTGGTACAATGTTTGAAGCCAGTTCCTGGTGTTCCCTGCCGTGATAGGGGACCATTCATAATTTATGGCTAGGGGGGGGTGTGATGATGATGATTTTAAGGGAAGGTCACCAACGTAGTTCTGGGGAGGTGGGGGGTCATCAATTTTTAACACATATACTGGGGGGGTGGGGTATCATTGATTTTGTACATGACGTGCATTGTACATGCTTCTCCATAAACATCATCACCCCCAAAGCCCTAAATTATGAATGATCCCTAGGTAAATGTTAAAAGTGGCATTGAACCATTCTCACTCTAACATATATCAAGGTAATCTCTGGGACTTCTTCCAGACAAACAGTATGCAGACAATTAAGTCATTTTGTGAAATGCTTTGTATGTATATTAAATGAAACGTATCATGTGTCAAATCATCTGGAGTAATATTGTTGTGCACTGATATAAATAAAAAATTATCCCTGCCATGTTGGGAAAAGTGTCTCTTACAGCTAAAGGTTTTGCATCAGTTATCTGTAAATATGTGTGGAATGATCCAACAACTATTTTCATGAAAAGTGTCCTGCTTCCATATCTGTGAAAGGCGGTAACTGATTAAGGAAGGACTTTGTTTTTTTCATAAGTTTTCTGATCATACAATGTTTGTTGTAGGTGTAGTGTGTATATAGCTGTCGAAACAATATGATGTACAAGCTAATGAATTGAGGTAATAAAGCTATTACTTCACTTCCATGTGTGTTGGCGTGTTTTTATTCCTCAGTGGCCTTGTTGCTGTGGTATACTTGTCTCAGTTCTGTAAAAGGTCTGTGTGCACATGGGGGTTTATGGGTAATATTATATAGGAAATTAGGCATTTCAACTTTTGTCCACAGTTGTCTGTAACAAGTCAGGTTTGCTGTATGTGTTTTTCATACTGCTTTTATTTTGTTAGTTACGTTTTTAACAAAATCCAGAATTAATGAAAAGTGTTGTAAAATATGTCACAGTAATGCAAGGCTGACAATGAATATTCTACCCTGTTTGTTTCATGAGGTTCTAAGGGTGGAAGTCGAACCTGGAAGCAACCACATATCTTCCTGCAGGGACAAAAGATCTGATTTAAATTAGACTGACAATTGATGCTGAATAAATCCAGCATTTCATCTCAGAGCAGTGTGAAGTTCATTTCTGGTGTCCCCTGCCATGATATTGCTGGAATACTGCTAAAAGTGGCGTAAGACCAAACTCACTCACTCATCTCAGAGCAAACACAAAACAGCAGTGAAGTACATATTTATTATAATGTAATAAAAAATATACCCAAATAAGAAAATTTTATAATTCCTTGAAAGACAAAATCCCCAGCTCACAATATCAGCTCTCTGATGGCTGAAAGCTATGAATAGACAAACCAAAATGAAAGAAAAGTGGTCAAATTGTAGCACTTACTAAGAAAGTGTTACACAAAAATAACATGTTACTATTGACCACTTTATATAATGCCCAGATGATTTGTCTTTATACCAATTAGTCGTCATTTTCAAACTCAGAGCAGTAATCTTTTCATTATTTGCAACCCTGAATCATGAAAACAGTACATGAAAGCTTTCAGAAGTGACAGAAATACAGATAAAGTTTCCATTCATTTTTTAAACATCAGTCTTTGATGTACGACGACAGAAAACATTTCAGAAATAAAATTTTGATGTGTTGAGTATCTTTGTTGAAGAAGTCTTTTAGTTGTTATATGAGGGAGGCAGACCCATGACAAACCTTTTTTGATGTCAAGTTTTATTATGTTTGGTATGGTCAAGTGAGTGAGTGAATTTTGTTTTACGCCACACTCAGCAATATTCCAGCTATATGGTGGCGGTCTGTAAAATACCAAGTCTTGACCAGACAATCAAGTGATCAATAGCATGAGCATTGATCTCCGAAATTGGGACACGACTCTGGTCATGACTTTATTAAATGCAATTCCCCATATATATATAGAATATATAGTGGGTATGATGCAGCAGGGTAAATAACAGCAACAGACCCCATATGTAAGGATTTCTTTGTTTGCAACTTTGTATACTTTTATTGTAATGATAAATGAAAGACTGTGTGTGTGTGTGTGTGTGTGTGTGTGTGTGTGAGCAAGAGAGTGAGCACACATGCACATATATACATGTATGTCAAATGAAACTCATTTTTTGTGTTTCATTTTAGTATTTTGTAAACTGAAATCCACATAAATTTTGTAAATGTAACTAGTAAAATGTTCCATAATTACGTAACATCAGTATGTGGTATGAAATTTCTGGTCCATTGCAATGTGGTTGGCTGCCATTACATGATGTCGCCTGTGATGTCAATCATCTGGTGACCATCTCAGACCTAAGTATGTATTAGTTACTGAAGACAGATGGAACATTGAGGACTTTGGTATAGATTAACACACACTCATATTCCTTGAAACTTGATGCATCCTTCCAGAGACGCTCATTGATTTCATGATGGCAACTCTCTCTCTAATTTCGGTTTCTTCAATTTGAGCGGTATGTCTGCTGGGCTAGAATCAAAGGGTGTTCTCTTGAGACTGTATTTAGTTTTTAAATCGGAGTATCCCAATGTTGTGCTGGATTCTGATGTGCTACTTGGACCACCAACAGAATTCTTAGGACTGTAATCTGACCCTGAAACACATTCTGGGGTCATGATTCTGTATGCAGACTCATGTTCAAGGTTGTCCACAACATCCCCGTTTCTACTTGCCACAGGTCTGAACAGCTGAGATAACCTGAATGTCTTCTGAGTAGGAGACACCCGACGCTTCTTTGGAGATGATGAAAACCCAGGTTGCACATTAGACTTTTGACGACATAAAATAATGACTTTCCTGGCAGTATTTGTTACTCTTGTTTCCTCCCCTTCAGACCAATCTTCATCTTTGTCCATGAACTCCAGCTGAGCACCCCATTCCCTGATGAAACAGTCACGCATGGAGCACCCCTTGCACTGGTGTTGGTCCTGTGTTCTGTCCACCCAGAACACGGAGATGTTTTCGTACTCCTCGGGTGTCAGTCCTGCTAGGTATGTGTCAATGGATGATGGAGATGAAGAGCTGGGGACAGTGTCTGGTTGACTTTTGAAAAGTTGGTCAAGTCGGTGACCGATGTCATCTGACTTGCCAACATAGAGCGGTAGGTACTGTCCTGATTCCTTATTGTCAATGACCCTTGCTATCTTAAAGTAGCCGCTTATCTTGGTTTGTGGTCTTTCAAAATATCGAAGTTGCCCTATGAATAATTTATGGCAAGCTTTTATCTGGAAACAGAAACAGGCACATTTTGACTGTTTTTAAACAAATATGATGTATTATATTTTTATAGGAAATATTCTGGAATACGGGATTGAATGCTATGCCATTCTTAAAATTAAGAATAACAAAAATAAATAAAAGGACTGTCTTCATAATTGAATTAAATTATGGAAAATATGTAATTTTTATGATGAAATTGATTTTTTATACTTATCCTGACTCGTGCTATATCGTTTATCTCCCTTTCCCTTTCGACGGTTACATGGAAACTTGAATTCCTTTGTTCCCAAGAACAGTCAAAATTCATTCACCCATCGGGAGCCCCTCTTTTCCGTGACCTGAGTCAAGCTCTCCTCACTCTCTCCTGTATATACCCACACTAGGGCCTGCAGTGAAGCCAGTAGTGCATAGATGGGATGGTTGGGAGGGCCCTTCAGATCATGAGTCATGATAAGTATAAAATGTCAATTTTATCATAAAATTACATATTTTTCCTTATCCTGACTCATGCTATATTGCTTACCAAATCTGACAGAAAGGGTGATGGGTCAGCCACCTATCGGGATTCACTGTGACTGTTAGATCAAAATAGCGTCTGATCATATACCACCTGGGAACTCTTCTTACGGCTTCTTCTACTGCAGCCAAAACATCCTGATGACAATCGGGGGACCACCTTCTCTTAAGTTAATAAGGAAGTAAATCGTGTAGATTTTGTGGATTTTAAGATAAACTAGTACGCCTCGATGTCTAGTTATCTGGAACGATCCATATGTTACAGTAAGGACTATTACCAAACCTGAATCATGACCCATCTGTTAAGGTAAGGGTTATTAACGAAACTGAGTCTTTTCTCGTAAGACAGTAGAATAGAATAGAATAGAATAATACTTTAATGCCATTTCAGGAATTTGTGTTACATCAGCAGAGCTACTGACACATTAGAGAGATACCAAACATATTTACATAAATTCTTTGATTTAGGTATCTTCACATTGATTAAGAGAGATATGGTACTTGGAATAAAGGATGTACAGGCTCTCTTAGTTTTCACAATTGGAACCTTGTTGCGGCGGCCTGAAGGAGGAGGTTGTATTCCTGAAGGGAGGAGGTTGTATTCAAATCTGAATTTAAGTAGTGAGTACGGTCAGATATGATATTGACAGCTTGATTCAATTTTGTCTATTTTAGATTTGATTTGAGAGACCCGCATTACCATTCACATATGAAAGATTTGTGGTTAGTCTTATGAACACCATTTATTCTTTAAAAACTTGTGGTTAATTAATACCGGCGATTAAAAGTGGCCAAAAGTCAGCGCGAAACCACAGACAGGTTACGTAACTCTGTCAGCCAGAGCACTGCAGTGCGTCATATGAGGAACGATTTTCAGTTAGTTGTATAGAAAATGTAGCCGCGCTATATTGACGATGAACATTCAAATCTGACTCCAGCGATATCGCTATGTCATGCAAAATCCTATTGGCCATTTACTTGCAGTGTTAACTGACTGACTGAGTTTGGTTTTACGCTTTTATAATTTGCCAATGTGAATCATAATTAGCACACACACCTAGTGCATGTTGTCTGTCTTTTGCAAATATTAAAATTAAAACAGCAATATTCCAGCAACATCAAATAACATGTGTAGGTTTATACCACCTAACACGGGTTACAACGAGGGAGTATTAATTGCTGTATTGCATGTGAAAACTTATGGGAGAATACAAACAGATTTTACATGACATGACACCAGAAATGGGCTTCACACACATTGTGCCCATGTGGGATTCGAACTTCGGGTCTTAAATGACAGAGATTGTGAACATATAGCTTTAACCATTAGGGCTACCCAAGCCTGTAAACACGCCCCTGCAGTTTTAATAATTTTGTCTATTTTAGATTTGAGATTAACTGAGAGAGACCTGTTGTCCAACAATGGAAGGAAAATGTTAAAATACTCTGAATAAATGCTACACATAAAGATGACACATCACAGATGGGTTAACATTAAAAGATCTCAGTTTACGCATGAGATGAAGACGTTGTTGACACTTTTAGTATAGGGCTTCAGTGTTACGAGTTCCAGTTCAGCTTAGAGTCAATGAAGGTTCCCAGATACTTATACTCTGACACAGTCTCAACACATTCACCGTTGATTATCACTGAAAGCATTTCTGTGGGTTTACTCCGAAAGTCAATTATCAGTTCCTTTGTTTTTGTGACATTTAAGAGTAAGTGGTTTTCAGCAAACCATGTCGTAAAATGATTAATGTCCTCTTTATACAGTTCTTCAGAATCAGTGTCGTTCAGTTTGCCCACAATTGCTGCATCATCTGCGAACTTTACAGTTGAACAGGTTGAATTCGAGCTTGCACAATCATGAGTGTAGAGGGTGAAAAGAACAGGAGATATTACACAGCCTTGTGGTGCACCAGTGTTGGTGGTCCGTTTACTCGATACAGCCCCGTTAACTTTCACGTACTGCTGTCTGTCCACAAGAAAGTTTTCGATCCACTTGATGAGGTATGAGTTAACGCCCATGTCTAACAGTTTCTGTATCATGATATGTGGCTGGATAGTGTTGAACGCAGATGAAAAGTCAACGAAGAGGATCCTGATGTATGACTTAGGTGTCTCTAGATGTTTATAGACATTATAAAGGAGTGACAGTGTGGCATCAACAAGTCAACATGATAAGGGTGAGTTTCTCATCGTCTGGCTGGATTGGTGAGTTGCTGTACTACAACTGGTGGATACCGGATACATCTTCTGTAGCGATATCTCAAAGATAATGGTTGGCGAACACTGTGTCCGTCTTCCAAAGGCAGCCTTCCATGATGGATGATAAAGAACAATTCCCATGCAGGTCGATTGTCCAGGTTAATGCTCTAACTTCTTGTGGGGTGAAGGCTCTGGGCAGATCCAACCCTGTTGCTCTGTAGGCTCATAGGATGACAGCTCTTTATATCCAAAACGATCGTTGTTTGGGAGACTTAGTTGTGGTGGGTGATAGCGGGACGAAGAGACGCTTGAATTTCCTCCTACTTGTAGCAGTCCATTCTAAGTAGATCTTCAAGGCTCGGACTGGGCACAGGGACAGGTCTCGTGCATCATCTGGTCTGAGGATCATAGACAATGCTGGGACATGGAATTGTCTATCTGGTTGACCTGGTAACTGATTCTTTTGCTATGAAGTCCCATCTAAGTCCCAGGTGCCACTGCAGGATGCTCTCTTGAGTCGAATCAGGTTCGTCCATAGTCGAGGGCATATATCTCTGACATTCGAACAGCTGTAGCTAGGGTGAGGAGGAAGAGCGTCCTCTGTGTTAGCAGCTCAAAGTAGTGTGTCTCAGTGGCTCGTAGTTGTCGCTGGTCAGATGTTGCAGCACTACTTTGAGGTCCCAGGCTGGATTTCTTAACTTCTGCTGCTGATCTTCAAGATTGAATGACCTCAGTAGAGCAATGAGTTCAGGTACTTTAATGAGCTTGACTCACGTATTCATGGTGAGTACGGAGCTGATGGCTGCCAAATATGTCTAGAGTGTAGATCCCTTCAGCTGTCTAGTACCTCTCAGATGACACATGTACTCTGCTACTTGCGGATGTGATGCTTTCATGCCCGAAAACCCCTTGTGTGCAGCAAACTGGTAGAAACTCTTCCTCTTATCATCGTGGAGGTTGTGAGTTGATCGTCTGAAGGCCAGTGTAACTGCCTTAGCTGCTCTGTTGGAGTACCGACTTTTCTTCAGGCAGTGTGTAATACGTTCTATGCGAATAGCTGGAGCCCTCGTGGATTGCCGTGAGGGTGCCTTGTGCGAGGTTGGATCAGTAGATTCGGCCAATATCTGGTAAACGCAGCGTTGGTTTTCCTAGGAGCTGTATTTGGTCTGGAAACCAGGTTCTCGCGGGTTCTCTGGAAATCAGTCGTAGGACTTTGGTCTCGGCAATCTTGTGTAGACTGTGGTAACAGGATCAGCGGTGGGAACGTGTATGCGTTTGGTCTCTCCCATGGTATGGCTAGAGCGTCGAGAGCCCAGGCCTGAGGATCTGGTACCAGTGAGACGATAGTCGTAATTTAGTGATTGAAGCGTGTCGCAAACAGATGTATGAGGGGTCGGCCTTGGTCTTTGGTGAGTAGTTGGAACGCTTCCGGATGTAGCATCCACTCTGTGGGTGATGGTCAGAACGGTCTGGATAAGGCATTGACTCAGACGTTCTTTGCCCCTGGAATGTGGCAGGCCTTCATCCATAGGTTGAGGTCATCTGCTAGATTGAAGAGCTGGAACGTCAGTTGTAGCAGCGGCGCTGATCTCGTTGAGCCTTGTAGATTGATGTAGAAGGCTACTGTTGAGTTGTCTGTGTAGATCATAAGGAACTGATTCCTCAGCAGGTGCGCCCAGTGTTGAACTGCCTCGATGACCGCCTTGATTCCAGCTAGTTTATGTATAGAGCCCTTTCTTCCGGCAACCATGTTCCCGATGCAACCTCTTAGTTGCAATGCGCTCCCCATCCTTGTAGAGATGTGTCCACGAAGAGATAAAATTTGTAGGCCGGTTCTTTCAAATAGGTTCCGCCGCAGACATTTGCCTTGTCCGTCCACCAGTGTAGATACGACTTTGGGTGCTGAGGGATGGATACCTTCTGCAGACTGTCGAGACAAGGTCTGAGGAAGCGTTTTAGCGGTCGAAACTGCAGTCTTCCTCTGTTACTAAATATACCGTTATGATAATATAATGTCCTAAAATACAATTCACGGCCTTAATTTGAAAATCTGGCTGAAATTATAAAGGATATAAGCAGTATAAGGGACCCAGGAAACCGCCCAACCGGCGATGAAGGAGAGAGTGAGGAGAGCTTGGCTCAGGTCACGTGAGACGGTTTTGGCAGGAAAGTGGGGCCCCGGATGGGTGAGTGAATTTAGACTGTTCTTGGGAACAAAGGGATTCAGGTTTCCAAGTAACCATCGAAAGGGTAAGGGAGATAAGCAGGATAAGGAAAAACTTGTAACTTTTACAAAGAAATGGATCATCCACAATTCCTGGTAGCTCAAAGGTTACTCTCCAACTCAAACAGTTCTAACTTATTCAAAGTTCTATTCATTATCTCACCTTTTTTGGTGTTATTACTGCCTGTGGTTTGTCTTTAGCTGAAGAAACAGATGTTTTCTCAGGTGAAGATCTTGGAGGTGATGGTGGGGACACTGCTTCCTTTTTAACAAAGTCAAGGCCCGACCAATCTGAACTTTTAGAAGGTGACTTTTCAATGTAACTATCTGACTGGGTTTGAGTTTTGTGCTTTTTTCATTACTTTTTCAGTGTCATCATCTGACTTGGAAGGTGTGGATGAAAGAGAAGCTGTTTCACTCGGAGAAGGGGTGTCCATTAGGTTTGTTGGTGGTGTTTCTTTGTTTGACATGTTGGGTGGCAGATCACTAGGTGATGGACTGTGAATCATTGTGGGAGTTGATTTGATCCACGTCAGCTTAGTTTGAATCTCTTTCTCAGTGACCGTTTTGGATTTAGTGACAGCAGGTTCTCCTGAAAAAAGACAAAAAAACTACACAAATTGTAAAATACAAATACCAGGAGAACTTCCTGTTATCAAAATAAATAAATCAAATATTTTTCAAAACATTTTGAGATTTGATCACCCATGTACACACCAACTTTAGCATTTCAACTGTTTTAACCCTGAAGATCCAAGTTAGGTTTGGTCTTCAGCAACCCATGCTTGTCATGAGAGGCAACTAACGAGAACAGGTGATCAGACTTGCTGACACATGTCATATCCCAATTGCATAGATTGATGCTCGTGCTGTTGATCACTGGATTGTCTGATCTAGACTCAATTTAACAGACTGCTGTCATACAGCTTTAAAATTCGTCTTTGAGAGGCATTTTAGAAGTTGTATAGATGAAGGAAAACCAAGTTCTATGGATAGTCAACATCTTCATTGTGAATGCGACGTATCGGTGTAGGTACTAACACATTTATCAAGCAAGTGACAGCACTCAAACATCGCACTCATTGCAACAAAGAAGTTGACTATCCATAGAACTTGGTTTTCCTTCAGCATTAAAATTGCTAAATACTACGTCAAACAACAAAGAACAGCTTCTGTCAGTGAATGGGAGTAACAACAACCTGCGCATTGAGATTGCCTTTTACAACACCACTCAGGTCCATTCACAACTAGCTTACCTCTATGTCCAGACAAGCCATCCTTCACGTCAACCGAGAACTGACTGTCAACACGGACATTAAGCCTCAGTTTATCCTTCACAATACTCAGCAGACATGTGAGAATCTCCTTCAGTTTGTGCTGGAGAAAATCTTGCATACTGATCGCTGAGTCCAGCTTGAGGTCGAGAATAATGGAGCCTTCCTCTTCAGAAGTCAGAAGAGCACCATTCAGGGGGATGACACACTGATTATCCTTGAAAGTCTGGAAGAATCTCCTCTCAGTTTTGAAATCCTGTTCCATGGATGTGATGGTTATTTTTGCTCTGTTATCTGATGTAGCATCTCCTGTTAAAGGAAGGATAATACATGGTAAGTGCAGATATGACGCAGCAGCAGCAGGTTTACACAGCTTTAGCAATATTTCAGCAATATCATGACAGGGGACACCAGAAAAGTTCTTTCCACATTGTACCCATGTGGGGAAACGAACCAGGGTCATCATAGTAACGAGTGGAAGCTTTAACCATTAGGCTACCCAACCGTGACTCACCCCCTTCATAAGGACATAACTTATTCTAATGTTTTCACTTATTCATACATAATGAAAAGAGTCCAAACTAAATACACAAGTGTCAGCTCTCAATATATTGTAAACAGTGCTAGCTTGAAATTATATCTGGACACACTTTTAAAAGATTAAAATGTGTGTGTCCTTGAAAAACAGCCCCCATCTAAATATAAATCGAGCAATCCAAATCTTTGAATGTTGATTATAACGGGTAGTCATTCAATACTATCTGAACCTATTTCACATGATGTCATATGGGGGCATATGATTATCCATAAGGTACCAAATGACAGATCATTTTTCATTAAAGAAATATTATACCCCAATGTGTTGTGATGACTAATATCTTGTTAAACACATTACGCACATATGTGAAATGTTTTATATGGCTTTGCTAAAGATTCCTTTAAAATAAAATCAAAACTTTTCAAACATTGGACATCGAGAATATAGTTAGGCTGACTACTGTTTAAATGCCCCTTGTAGATGTAGGTGATGAGATTCAGGTTGACGAAGGCCTATGTTCGATCTCAAAATTCCTTAAAATGTGTGAATTCTATTTCTGGTATCCCGTACCATGATATTTCTGAAGGCAGCAAAAATTTTATTAATTATCAGTGACAGCCAATATTTACAGTCAAACAACCTTTAACTGGTCATTTCATGTCAACAAATATATGGCTTAATGGCTCATTATTAAGTGACTATGTTCTTATATACCACGTGGGTTGATTATCGGGTCAATATCTTGGGTTATTCTTTTTGTGAACCACCTCTCAAGGGGTTGGTTATCGGATAACCAACCTTGTCCAGAGGTTGGTTATCATATAACCCCCTAGGGTGGTTATCATATAACCCCTAGGGCGGTTATCCGACCAACTCTCGGTGCGATACCGGGAACAAGGCTCAGCTTCGCCTCACCTTTTTCCCAGTATCGCACCTCGAGAAGAACTTTTCCCTTAGCATATCGGGTTTGACAACCCTATGCCTCTACCTCAATGTTTTTGTTGGAAACATATTGAATACAAAAATACAGAACCATTAAAATATTTTTATTTATTTTTTACAATATCTGCACACTGCAATTAATAAATTGGAAGCGGCGGGACCTCCTTCCACCTTTCGATTCTCCACAGGGTCACTTGAATAATCTGAAAAATGAAATAGTTATTTAAACAGGATGCTCATGGTATTTTTTTTGTAATGAATAATTTGATTTACCCCAATGATTAATTTTATGATACATTCTGTTAATGTGAAAATGACGTCTACCAACAAATTACATGCATCAGTATCAAGCAAGTTTCTCGAATACCAATAGACTTGGGTTTAGTACAAACAGATAACCAATGGAATGGGAAGGCGGTAGGGCACTCTGGCCTATAAACAGTGCAATTTCCCCTGACCAATAATGTTTAATTTCATTAGAAGAGTTAGTATTGAGAATGTTTATTCCCTAAAATTATGTTTCCACTGAGAGAAAGAAAACATACTTCTGGAGTTGAAGCATTGTGTTCCGCTTTGCATCGTACTTCCTCTGTTTTTGGCTTGTTACTTGTGAGAATGCTGCTGACCATCTTCATGTGGTCTTCATTTACTTTCCTTTACGTCCGCACACCTGCAACAGTTGTATAATAACCAATGGTACTCTCAACAATCAGATAACTTCCCAAATTCATGCTGTCGTGCTGGCAACTCAATTTCCCAACCCAATTTAAGCCCAATTCAAGGGTACCCTAGGGACCATTCAAAATTTATGGCTAGTGGGGGTGATGATGAGTTTTATGGATAAGCAAGTACAATGTGAATAATCCCCCTACCCAACCACCCTAAAAATTATGGACGAAGTAAGTAACCCCCTGCATATTATGTACCCCTCCCTCTTCCTATAATTTCTCAGCATTTTTTAAAATATTTTCACAAACTTGCAGACCCCCAGTACATGTGAAGAAAATTGATGACACCCACTACCCACCCACCTCACCTTCCAAGTGAGTTAGTGAGTTTAGTTATAAGCCGAATTCAGCAATATTCCAGCTATATGGCGGCGGTCTGTAAATAATCGAGTCTGGACCAGACAATCCAGTGATCAACACCATGAGCATCGATCTGCGCAATTGGGAACCAATGACATGTGTCAACCAAGTCAGCGAGCCTGACCACCCAATCCCGTTAGTCGCCTCTCACGACAAGCATGGGTTACTGAAGGCCACTAATCTAATCAAGACCTTGGAAAGAGTTCCGCCTGTACCCCCCACCCCCATGAAAAACCAAAATTACAAACCAACATGCATACCTCACCCTAAATATACATTCAATAAACTAGAACAGATATAAAAAAACAATCAATGAACTTATTTCAGTTTTGGAATAATACACCGGGGAAGGATTCCTCCTGGAGCAAATATACTAGGTAAAAAGAGGGGGTACGGGCTGAACTCTTTCCCAGACGTTCACGGGTCTCACCTTCCTAGAACAAAATGGAAGAACAACACCACGCTTCAACTGAGTACAAGTACAGATATAGACAATGTTATGTAGGGTACGATACTTACCACATGACCAGTTTGCTTCAAAATCCACACCGGCCTGGAACAGAGTCGTAGCAGCTCTCTGAGAAGCCAAAAGCACCTCCATGTCGGAATTCATTTGCTGTGATGGCTTGTATAACACTGTCAGCTTAAATCACGTGCTTTTCCATTGCACATGATTGTTAATTGCCCTACTTGCACGAGATTCTGGTGCAGCAACGTATCTCGCACACTTACCTGGCATACAATGCAAGATCTTTGAAAATCATTGTCAATTTCAAGTGTTGAATGGCGTTTGTTAAGCTTGTTTGTATTTTTAACAGTCCCGAAAGAAAATGAGCAAAAGCTGCGCTGTTAATTTTTTCTTTTTTCAATATATCACTTATGTCTATGTAGGAGACTGCGAATGCCTTTTCATATTTGTTCGTTATTAACATAGTCTTTACTTAGTTGTGCACATTTCGTTACAAATCTCGCCAACAGTGTATTTTCCATACATTGTATTCTGTGTAGGAGACAGCTATTATTTTTCGTTATTGCATATTATCTGACCAACTCTCGGTGCAATACCGGGAACAAGGCTCGGCTTCGCCTCACCTTTTTCCCGGTATCACACCTCGAGAAGAACTTTTTCCTTAGCATATCGGGTTTGTAAACCCTATGCCTCTACCTCAATGTTTTACAGGAAACATCTTCAATAAAAAAATACAGAACCATTCAAAACATTTATCTCATTGTAGGTTCTGAACATTGCAGTTAATTATAATTCAACTAAAATAAGTATGTTTTTGACCTTGTGGTATATGCGAAATAACAACCTTAAGCTCGTGATTCGCTTCGATAATCACCTCTCGGTTCCCTCAAGGGGGTTATCACAGCGAACCACTCGCTTGGCGGTTATTATTTCACCCATAACCATGTTTACCTATTTTCCAGCAATATCAACAGAACCAGGTGTATCAGATTGTACCTCATGAGGAAATAAACCTGGTTCTTTGGCATAATTAGCAAACACATCAACCAGAAGCCTATCCCACCGCATGTACTCATTATTAAGGAATTATGGAAAGCTTATAAACCTTAAATTCTTGTTGCAAGAAAATTAAATCAAAGGGATTGTAGTCCAGTAAAACAGTCATGGTTGATGTATCAGTACCTACCAATATGGACAAAGGCAATGTCCGTTGACTCCCAAATCTGTGTGAAATAATTATATCCAAGATCATCCGTCTGAAGTTCACACTCATTTCGCAAACCAATCTCGATAAAAGAATTACCTGAAACACAAATAGAAGCCTGTAAGATAGTCCAATAATATGAAGACAGGATAAAAAATGGTAAGGGTGATATTTTTATATTGTTATAAATACACTCATAATGGATCCGAAATCCCTAGCAAGGGAGATAACTCATGTGATAGATGGGGCCAAATAGACGTTCAAGTGCGTGCGTGGACAATGTGGTCCCTCGTTAGACCGAACAGGATTTCTTGTCAACATGCCGTGGTCATGTTTCTCTTCAGAAATCCTGTTCGGTCGAACGAGGGACCACATTGTGTAGAATTGCAAGCCTGACACTGAGAAGTATGGACATAGGTTTGAAGCTTACTACAATAGGGGGTTTATGAACTACATCCCGATATCAAATTTTCAAGATTAGACTCATAGTGACGAAAAAACAATTATGTACCAAAGCCTATACGTCTCCCCTCACCGCCATCTTTGAAGATTTGTATGCCGTTTCGGGATGCTATGACTACCGTGTTGGGATGCTATGAATGCCGTTTTGTACGCTCGGTGACCGTTCTGGTGCGCTTTTGTAGCTGATACGCAAGTTTTGTTTCCATTTCAAACAATTTGTCTTCCATTACAGATGTATTGTTTCGGTTTTAGAGGATATTGTTGGAGTTTTGGTGGTTTTTGTTCTGTTTTGGTGTATATGAGATCAGTTTTGATGATTTGTTCACCGTTTGCATGGTAGGCCTGACAGTGGCAAATTCAAATCTGGATTTCAAAAAGAAATATATCTTCAAAATGTATGTCTTGTGGACTGTCTTCATCCACACCTTCACACTTTTTGCAGCGACTCTACATAACATCCTTCCTTATACTATGGCTTAAAGCTTACATGCAACGCAAAAGACAACTTTGCAGATTCTGATACCTTTTGGCAGAGACCATTCTATTATATGGTCTCTGCTTTTGGTATCAAAAAAGTAAATTCAACTTATAAATTTGAAAAATAATGTGATGAAAAAATTCCCCCGAAATCAGAGTTCAAACGATTCACTAAACAAAACCCAGCTGGGTGAAAAGTGGTTTCAACAGCTCTGCTGTGCTGCGCACATAGCACATGCGCAGTGAATAGGTTCGTGCAATTTAAACTGGGATGCCCGGATTATAAGGTCGTGAGCACGAGAAGTCTATCTTGGTTGTGTACACAAACAACAAAAAGTAAATAATCTACTCGTTGCATAAAAGAACCTTGTTAAGGATCTAGATCTACTCACCTATGTGTCAACCAGTGAGGCGTTCGACATTTCAAGACGGAAAACCTTTGCTGGCAGTGAGTACTCGGAGTAGGCTTTGATGTGAGCTATTTTTCTAATGTTTTGCTGATATTTCACAGGTGCAATCTTTTTATATGCTATGACAGTAGATTACCGATTTAACTGTTTATATTTATAAATTCATTTGACTGTTTCACCACATGTTCTTCTTACAGAGTCACTTTCCCAGTTCGATACTTAACAGCAAAGTTGTTGTTTAGGATTGTCAGACTTTCTAACTGTCAAATAAGAGTAAGATGTCGGGTTCTGACAGTGATTCGAGTTCACCAAACATGGCTTTAGATATGGAATGTGAATTCTTTTCAGAAGATGGACACTCTACTGAGGAGGAAGTTGACAGCAACACCCAAGTAGACCCCTACGTGTTTGAACCAGTAACAGATAGACGTGACAGCGAGGGAACCCTAGAGAATCCTGGTTTAGGACGTATGGATAACAAGCATACAGAAAACACTGAATGGTTTGGGGTCATTATACACAAAATGTTAAGTAGGTAGGATTAATACTTTTAAAATAGTCAATTTTCTTGGGTCTGCAGTAATAAAAATACACTGGTTCCATATTTTTTCTTATTTTTTTCACATCTTGCTTTTTGGGGGTTGGCAGATTTGCAAAATAACTTTTCAAGAAAGTGTAGCATTAGAAATACTAAGTTTCATTGTTAAAAATTGCTCAGCTTGAAAACTGAAATGTTTTAATTCATGTCTATGGAAACAGAGAAAAGTCAAGTGTTTATTTCCAGTACGATGGTGAACAAATATTGTACATGTGATATCTATCATCTCAAGTTTTACATATACTCTCTCTTAATTTATATGAATGCCATAAGAATTTACTTAAACTTTGTAAAACTACTACTGGTACATTATCCATCAATAGAAAGATCTAAATTTATACATGTTCGGAGTTTGATGATATACATATGGAAAGTATTTAATTCGTAGAGTGCTATAATAAGGTACAAATATGGTACTCATACCTATTACAATATGGGCATAAACGTTGAGATTTATCTATTCCTAACCATCTCCCTTCGTTATATTTTAATCTTAATAACTGACTGACTGAGTTTTGGTTTTACGCCGCTTTTAGCAATATTCCAGCAACATCACGGCGGGGGACACCAGAAATGGGCTTCACACATTGTAACCATTTGGGGATTCGAACCCGGGTCCTCGGCGTGACGAGACAATGCTTTTACCACTAGGCTACCCCACCGCCCCTAATCTTAATAAACCACATCTGAACTTAACACATATATTCCTAAGTCGTTTGTCAATAATGCAATCTAAATATTTTTCAGGGTCTAAAATGATGTTATATTCACGATAAATACAATATCTGGAGCTATTATTCAGAGTATAAGTCCAAGATTGGAAGAAAATATTAATAGCAACAGTTTTAAAGGCATTAATAAAAGAGGATATATCTTCTACAGATTGAAACATCCATACATAACCAAAACCATGTGAGCATAAGATACTACGAATATATGATGCATAAGTAGTGTAACCAGTTAAAAAACATAACTGCATTTTATATACCTTAAGTGGGATTCGGTTTTCATGCATATATAAAACTTGTAGCCAATATCTTAATGTTTTACATAAAGAGATACCTGCCGTATTCCCCATATAGAATTGCCTTAGGGGTTTGAGGTCTAACATTTAAAAATCTTTTACATGCAATTAAATTAACTTTTTCTAATTTATCAAATGTGTGCATACCCCATATTTCGACGCCATATAATAAGATTGGTTGTATTTGTGTGTCAAATATTTTAAAGAAAACATTACAATTTACCATTCTGACTTTACTTAGATTAATAATAACTTTCATTAATGCACGTTTAGCTCTCGTCGCTAAATTAGCAATCCAGCTTCCCATTTTATGAGTTGAAGAATATAATACACCAAGGTATTTATAACTATTTAATACAGCAATTCTTTTTTCATTTAAAAATCACTGTTCATGCTTAGCTAAGCGTCTCCCCACACACCCCCACACATACCCCTTCGAAAACAACAATATTGTTTTTTTATCAAGATTCCCCATTAACCGGAGTGTTCTGTAAAATCATGTAATATGTTGAGTTGGTTTTGTAATCCGGGAACAGTATCCGATACAAATACAACATCATCTGCAAACATGAGATGTAGAATTTCTAACAAATAACTAAAAAGTTGTATGCCGTATTTACTATGTTTTGATAGTTCACCTGACAATTCACTTATGATGAGAGAAAACAATGTGAATGATATATACTAATAATTGAATTTAACATATTCCTTCCCTTACCAGTTTTACATAATAATTCCATAGCTTTGATCGATCAACAGAATCAAAGGCTTTCTAGAAATCTATGAATGCTACTGCCTAAATGTAATTTTTTCTTCTAGAAAAAAACAACATGTTGATTGTGATAAGCAGCCTCTGTCCCAGACAAAACACAATTTCTGTTTTATTGACACCTATGTGTCTGCCCCATCTTGACATTTCCCAACACCTGTTTTATAACCAGTAGGACAATTCCCCACTCATAAAATTGTAGTACAATAGATGCGATGGGAACTAATATGTGCATTATGTGTATTCACTTATTAGGGGCGATGGGATTAACTAATCTGTATGTTAGGGGTATGTTGGTCAGTAAGGTCACTAGTATGTTTTTAAAATGATTTCCTGTGGTTTTCAAGATGGGACTCAAGATGATGGGAAAGTTTCCAAAGTAATAATTGATTTCTTGTGTCCATCAGCCCATCTAGCAAAGGCCACATTACGGTATAAACCTCTCCAAGATTAACTTTCACCAAGATAAAATGAGATTTACAATAATGTATTAATATTCTGGTAAAATGCTGTCAGATTCCAAATTTTCTGAAATGGAATTCATTCCGAATAACCATTTATGCGAGCTCCACTTGGTAACACTCCTGTTACATGTGTCTATGGAGTTTTCACTGGCAAATCCCAAGCACTGCATGAAGAACATTTCTGTGCTATTGTGAACAAGCGTCAGGAACTGTGTCACTAATTTTATGTGTACCTTCTTAACTATATACCATCTCAGCTTGTGTTTGTTCATTATTTGGGATGGGTGTGGGGAATATTGCCCTACTGGTTACAAAACAGATGTGGGGAAAAGTCAAGATGGGTAAATGTCATGTGGAGAACTGGCCTAGTGGGGAATTGTCCTGATGGGGAAAAGTCTGTACACCGTGTCTGCCTGCATGTCTGCTAATGACAATATGCAATACACAACATTACATTGACCACATGCAATTTGGCTATGGCTTATACACCATAAACAAAACACATTGATTTATGGTTCGTGCACTTGAGATCTGTCTCTGTCACATTATGCAATTACGCAGTCGGGCAGGTGTGATACTTGTATACGACATGTTATGATGTCTGTTGATTGCAAAACCTTATACACACTGGTACCTTTACAATGAGATTTGACTGGTGCCGGAGCAGGCTGAGGAAAGTATTGAAGTTGAGGACCGGTGTTTGGAGTATGCATCGAAGGTATAGCATTTGACAACAGCATTCTCTTTTTTCAACTTCTTCACCCAGCAGCCATCACTAAAATGATCTGAGCATAATCGCGCATGCTTGTTAGGTTGCCACCATGAACGCGTCTCTCGTACAAACTGAATCCATTTTTCTCGGATGACTGGATCGGACGGAAACCGGTGCAAACTCAGATTGTTAGTTTCAAGTCCTGCTTTGTACTTGGACGCACGACAGTTTCCAGCCACACAGTAGTTCACCATCTCAGTATTTGTTGATTGAATCGAACGCAAATGCAGAAAAAATGAGCATGTATTTACAAATCCCACGAATCGTCTACATTGTCTATATGAACGACGTTGTGTATACGATACGGGAGTCGAATCGTCTATATTCCGAATCGTCTATATTCACGACGTCGCGTATATTGTGGTACAAAAAAACACGACTGGATAATTTCCAACCCCGGTTTGCAACACGCGCTGTGATTGGTAGATTGCTTGTAAACCGGTTACAAACCCTTGTACCGCCGGAGAACAAGCGTTACATTAAACTGGGCATTGTGACGCCATTGTCTCGCCTTTTGCAATATATATTTGGAATGTCTTGAATAGTTATATTATATTACTCCCAGTCAAGACATGTGGCCATGTTGTCCAATTAGTAGGATCGACCGACATATATACACACACAAAGAGCCCTGGGCCCCGTTCCTCAAAGCGATCGTAGCGCTAAGATGATCGTAACTCCCATACTTTAACAGAGACTTACGACTGTCGCAGCGCTACGATCGCTTTGAGGAACGGAGCCCTGAACGTATCGGCAAAATGAACCAGCCAATGAAAGGCTTCGTTACACTTAAGTGCCCGCCCACCCGCTCTGACTGGGTTCGGTATCCCAGTTGATTTAAACATATTTTTATTCATGAAGATGAACTGGGATTGGTGAACAAGCATTACTGCTTATATTAACACCGCTCCCATGCAACATATAATACAACATGAAATTGGAGGATTTGACGTCATCGATACTGACCATTGCATTAATATAATATTTTTAATATATATATATATATATACACACACACACACACATATATATATATATATATATATATATATATATTGATTACATGAAATACAACTATTCTCTAAGTAGTCATAAGTTAGAGAGTTACAGTTGTGTGTGTCTCACAAGCCATTGTAGAAATATAAGTCAATCATGAGAAGGTTGTTGAGTAAATTTAATTATTTTCCTGAGAAAATTTAAAGCGTTGTGTCTTGGTTATATAATCGTGGACGGATTCAACTATTTTCTGGTTTACACATGGAGTAAGTTCTTTGTTTCCCTTAAGAATAGTATCCAGGTTATAACCGGTAGTGTAAAAATACATATTAAGTCTTATCCGAGTATAGTTACGGCAAGTGTGGAAATAGTGTAGGGCGTTTTCACTCTGATGTCCACAAGAACAATAAGGGCTGTCTATTAAATGTCTGTTATACTTATCGGCGTTTAGGTCGCTACATCCGAGCCTGAGGCGGCAGTGAACGATTTGGCAAAAGCGAGTGCCATAATTAAGGTTAAAGTAAATCTTGTTTTCAGTGTTTTTAATAAGGTTTTTTAAATTGTGTGAGATTACATGACGCTTTGGAGTTTGGTAGGGCATTCCATAAATTTATTGTGGCAGGTAAAAAGGATTTAGCATAAGAGGCAGTGCGACTGTAAATTCCTTGTATTTCAGAGTTATTCCTCAAGCTGTAGTTTGTAGTTCCGGAGACGGAGTTTGGGATCAGGTCACAAAGATATTTTGGCAATTGGTTGTTGTACATCTTATAGAAAAAAGTTAACTTCTGGCAATTCCTTCTATCTTGCATGGACTGAGATTTGGTTTCATTATAAAGTTTGTTATGACTTGTGCCACGAACGGCACCACATATAGTTCTCAGAGCATCAAGATGTAAATTTTCTAATGTACGCGATTGCTCAGAAGTACAGTTATCCCAAATGTGCGAACAATAGTCAAATATTGGCAAGATATAGGATTTATACATAATATCCAACGGTTTACGCGATAATCGGTATTTAAAACTCCTCAGACAACTGATCATACGGCGAACTTTACGTACAATATCATTAGTGTGATCATTCCACGTACAATCGCTTTGGAGTGTTAATCCTAAATGTTTATGACTTTTGACTTCTTTTATGATTGTTCCGTCCATGAATAGGTTCGGTTTTAGAGACGGTTTCGTTTTACGTGAGAACTGAGTAGTTTCGGTTTTATTTGGATGAAATGTAACCTGCCACTTACGGGCCCATTGTGAAATTCTATCTAGATCTTTGTTAAGACAGGTAGCAGCAACTGATGGATCGTCTATGATAACATATAATGAGGTGTCATCCGCAAAGAGATGAATGTTACTGTCAACATCACATACAAAATCATTGATGTATATCAGAAAAAGAAGTGGTCCAAGGACAGAGCCCTGAGGTACTCCAGCTAGTACAGTTTTCTTGTCAGATTTATAGCCGTTAATTGCGACCCGTTGTACTCTATTTTCTAAATAACTTTCAAACCATTGTAATAGTTAACCTTGGATACCATAGGTTTTCAGTTTATAAATAATTCCTCTATGCCAGACCTTATCAAAGGCTTTACTTATGTCGCAGAAGACTGCTCTAACCTCTTTACCTTCGTCAAGAGCTTTGGCTATAAAGTTGTTCAAAAAGGTTAATTGATTTGTTGTGGAGTCTCCTGGCATGAATCCTGATTGTAAATGTGTCATTAAGTCGTTATCTCTTAAGAAATTGAATACATATTTAAATACACATTTCTCAAAGACTTTCGATAAACAGGATGTGAGTGCGACAGGGCGGTAGTTTGAACAGTCATGTACGCTATCTTTCTTGTGAATAGGTATTACCGATGCTTCTTTCCATGGACTGGGAAAAAATGACAGGCTAAGGGACAAATTGAATAACTTCGTAAGTATGGATGTTAGACTATTTGCGGTATATCTAAGTACTTTATTTCCTATCCCATCCGGACCGGTCGCTTTTGATGTGTCCAGTGACATTAAAATATCTCTGACGTCATCGCGGGTTAGAGTGATGTTAGTTAATTTTGGGCTGCAAGGAAACTCGGTATCGGGCAAATCTCGATGTGGATCAGCAATAGTCGACTGAGCGATAAAGTAATTGTTGAAGACATTTGCGATTTCTTCAGGGTCATTATAGATTGTATCGTTAAAGATAATTGTCCCAAATTGATTGTCATTGTTACGTGATTTTATGAACCCTTTCGTCAGACGCCACCGCGTTTTCGTACCGATTTTAGAAACGAAATTTTTTTTAGCAGTTCTAATAGCGGAAGTAACTCTATTTCTTGCTGATCTGAAGTTAGCCCACTTCGTTGGATGGTTACATTTCTTTGCAATTTTATGTAGGCGATTACGTTTCCGAATCAAAGAACGTATCTGACTCGTCATCCAGAGCGGATCTGCAGGTCTAATAGTGACAGTCTTATTTGGTATATGTTGATCGCAGATTTTCATTATTGTGGATGTTAAATCGGTTGCAATCTTATCTATATTATTGGAAGAAAATAAAATATCCCCATCAATATCATCGACACTCTTGTTCATGCTTACAGTATCAACTAACGTATCCCAGTTGCGTTATGTAATCGTCGAAGTTGCAATCAGGGTTTTCATGTGTATTTATATATAAAATATGTATGGGATCCTGTGCAAGATCCTGGTAATGCCTATGACAGGTTTGTTATATCGATATTGAAAGACAGAACGATTGTACCGGTAATAAGCGCCGGGTCTGGAAGGGTGTGTTCCCTTTTTGCCTTGGCTGTAAGCGGATTAGGATTAATTATAATCTGTTGGTGTAAGTGGAGTTCACTAAGTTCACGCACTGACAACATTGAACACAGTTCATAGTGATTAGTTACCTCAGTCATTATTTCCTTGTGCGATCTAAAATAAAGATAACTACATATATGACATTTAACGCATATTTATGTATTTGCCGATGATATTTGCAATAAAAACTTTACATTTCACCATGTATATACATGTATTTTTCGAAATAATCCATATTCGTGTACTAGTTGATGTTAGATGCAATATTAGTAAAATTTTAAAATGTCACCACATATTTGTCAAATGATTCATATTCATGTATATATTGTATTTGCGGTTGGTATATGCAATGATGTGATAAACTTTACCGTTTCTCCTTATTTGCTGGCATACTTTTCTATTACAGACAATAGCCTAAATGTCCATTGTTCTAAGGATTAGTACGGTCCACTGATTTCAATCGATATACAATACCTCATATCGCCTACACCTCATATCGCCTACAATAATTATAATGGCCACTTCTGCCACCCCATCATAATAATGTGTGTTACCCAACTGCTGTTAACATTAAAAAAAATAATAGATCTTGTACATTGTCTGTGTGACATGATGTTTTGATTGGATACACATGCCTACTTATCTTCTTTCTTTGATCAACCATACGTGTTTTGATTGCATAAACATGACTTACTTATCTTCTTTCTTTGATCAACCATACGTGTTTTGATTGGATAAACATGACTTACTTATCTTCTTTTCTTTGATCAAACATACATGTTTCGGATTGGATAAACATGACTTACTTATCGTCTTAATTCTTTGATCAAACATACATGTTTCGGATTGGATAAACATGACTTACTTATCGTCTTAATTCTTTGATCAAACATACATGTTTCGGATTGGATAAACATGACTTACTTATCGTCTTAATTCTTTGATCAGCCATACATGTTTTGATTGTACAAACATGGCTTACTTATCTTCTTTCTTTGATCAACCATACACGTGTTTTTGTAGTATAAACATGACTTACTCGTCTGACATCATGTTTATGGATGGTACTTTCGTTGTTTACCCTAGCTTGTGGTTGCAGGTGTACATTGTTCATTGTCTGGTGGGGGCGGTGGGGTAGCCTAATGGTTAAAGCGTTGGCTCGTCACGCCGAAGACCCGGGTTCGAATCCCCACATGGGTACATTGTGTGAAGCCCATTTCTGGTGTCCCCCGCCGTGATATTGCTGGAATATTGCTAAAAGCGGCGTAAAACCAAACTCACTCACTCACTCATTGTCTGGTGGAT